CCATTGGACGCCCTGGCCAGTGATCAGGAATCGCAAGGAATCGACCCATCCGATGCTGGACAGCCACGCCCTTGGGATGGATGTTGGGCCACCTGGGGGCGTGGTGAAAGGGGCACCAGATTTGGAGGAGGGCAACGGCCGCGTGTCATTCTGCCATAATCTGAAGCCACAGTATTTGATCGTACACTTCTGCTAGCCTATTGTATTTAAGGCAACCGAATGCAAGTGGGAAGCGCTGAAAACTGAGGGACAGAGCATTTTGTTGGGCATTTCGACAGCCATCGCCTTTGGTGAGGGGTGCATGGCAGAGGATGTTTGAGAGAGCTCGTGATTGTACTGAAAGGAAAAATTCGCAATCTCTCCTTGTCAGTGTTTCGAGTTTTATGTTTCAATTCAGACCAAGTCAAGAGAACGGCTCTCTGGAGCTGATGGTATGGACACTGTCCTACGGCGTGGCTCGGCAGCTCCCACAGCCATTGGCGCATCCTGATTTGGTAACGTGACTGAGCGATGGAAAATAGCACGCAGTCTGCAAGGATACATGCGGCGTCACGCAAAATTGCACAATGCCCTTTGCCAGGACGTTACCGCAACCTGTCAACAAGGCCTACCAACCCAAGGATGCGGCGTGCCTATGCCCTGCAAACATTCAAAATCAATTTTTAGAGAAAACTGTTATGATGACGAAGGCAGGCAGGGTCGAGGGGTGGCGATCCCAGAACGGGAATCGTACGCTCAAGTCCACGGCAACGGTTTACAGCCGAGGCAAAAGGACAACAGACGTTCTGTCCTTTATACCCAGTCCGTTCATCAACATCCTTAATGCAATTCCTAGTGCTTCGTCATCTTTTCATACATTCAGTTATTTATAACACTCAATCAGTTCTAGCCTTAACAATGATACAAATTCAATTTGATCTCAGCGACCTTGGAGACCAACGGACACTAGTGGGAAGAGTGTGACCACGGTTATGGTCTTACAACAGGGTACAGCTTTGCGATACCATATCCATGGTCGCACTTTTCCCACTTGTGGGTATCAGCCTTTATTTCTATGACCCTGCAGTCTCTAATGGAGAGCGCGTGGTACTTTACTGCCGTACATCAACACGTCTGGCAGCCCGAGAAGAACAACAATGTACTTACCCCAACATGTTGTATACACCTGACTTTTTGCGCTCAAAGAGAACCAGACTCGGCGCCCTGCACTGTCCCTCTTGGCTTGCCCCCCCGGACAGATCCTTCACCAGATAGCGTACGCAACTGTGTAACAATCCATGTGCCCATCAAGCCTGATCAATATTGATCAGCGGCGCATTGGCTATGAGAAACGAGGATGGTGCAGTCTTGGGTGTTGCATCATTAGCCATACAACAATCAAGACTAGTCTTGGCTATCAAGGTCTTCCAGCACTGCACGATTCGCATTGCCAATGCTCAGCCGATCATCGGTGACGGTGTCGTAAATTGACAGCGAGGGTGCCACCGCACCCGGGCCCTCTTCATGACAACCCATGCTAACTCGTGCCCGTACCCGAGAGGTAATCTATTGGCCACTATTGGCCACTATGTGGACATATATATGGTACATGTATGTCAATATGACGCGGCGACAATCACACGTTGTGCATGCATGCAGAGCCGACTGCGGCTTGATTAGCAGGGCGTGGATTCCAACGTGACCAATCCGCTTCTGTAAGAGAACAATTTCAAACTTGGAATTTGCAGCAATTGCTGCACCGCTTCTGAGTGGCAAGCGCGCTTTTGTTCACCGCGCCATGCAATAACACAACACGTCTAGACTCGCAGATCTGCGAGTTGATGCGCTTATTGATGATCGATCACGAATGTGTTCTGGAACACAGACCTGCGCACACACTCTCATCGCGGCTCTATGCCCTCTAAAGACGACACCCAGCAACTTTGGGGCCACAACCCCAAACCCTCCCCCGCGAGCCGACGCTTGACAAAACTATTGGGAATATCACAGCACCCGAAGAGTCAAGCGCACTTGCCATTTAGGGGCGGTGCAGCAGTTGTCGCCAAAACTTTGGAAACGATGGCTGCACCGCCGCTGAATGGCCAATGTGCTTTGGTTTGTCGGTTCACGTGATGTTCTTGCAATTTTTGGCAGCTTACAATGCATTCATGGCTACGGCACTTCACCCTCCAAAACTCCGGTTAGCTGCTCCAAATTTGGGGCCCCTGGCGTGGGTTTTGGAGGGTATAGAGCCGTGGCGAAGCTGGCATTAGAGGCACCTTCGCCCTACCCATCTAGGGGAAGCTTCACACTCAACCCTTCCCGCTTCGCAGGAAGGTTGCAGATCCGCACCATCCGCACCCGCAAACTTGTGCGCAGCAAACTGCGTCTGCCCCTCTCCTCCCCCCTCCGGCGCACCAACCACCACGATCCCACACGCCCCTGTGATCGTTGGGTCTGTCAGTCGGCAGGGTGTTGAGCCAGTCAATGAGACTGCATGTCCAGGTGTTCCTTTAAGGCATAATCATCGGCGAATTAGTGGTCAGGAGCATTCATAGTATGGTCGAAAACACCCACGTGGGGCGTGTGCCACACCGCGCGGGCGCACAATCCTCGAGCGTGGCTCTGCGCTGTCGCCGGCTGCCATGCAAATGGACCCTCAGCCACCCAGTCCTGACACGGCGGGCCAGCGCGGCGGCGCCCTCGCCGCCCTGGACCGCCTCTTCTCGAATTGCACGAGCACAGGCGGACGCCATTCTCTACCATGCTCGCAAAAACACACAGTTTGCATCGAAACCACCGCCTTCGTTCCAACTGGGGCGGCATCTGTCGCCTTGGGCTGCGTCCCAAGAGATGCGTGGAACTGGGGTGTGTGCGGCGGTTGTCTCCAGTCCACTCGGGACGTTGGCAGTGCTCGTCTTGGTTGTGTCGCATCCGAGCCAGGCAACCGCCCGCCACTGCAGCCAGGGTTCAATGGTTTCGGCTCAAGACCGCGTGGCGGGAGCTCCCCTCGTTGCGCGACGTTGACGGCGAGTGGCGCGCATGCCAATACCTGTTGCTGCTCGTGCAGGTGGACAAGGGGATCCTCCGCAGCGTCCTCCAGAGCCGCGAAGCTGTTGTCAACCTTCGCAGGGGCCCGGCTGCGCACTCCGCGGCTCAGCGGCTCCTACCGCAGGAGCTTTCAGGGGGCAACAAAGTTCCCCCATGACTGCGTGCGAGGCAGGGAATTCGTCAGCACCGCTGCCAAGTGCCGGCAGTGTCGGCGATCGTGTGCAACGAGGCTCGCATCTCCGAAAATAGTCAGGCACGCGCACGGCGTTACAAGCTGCTATAAGCCACCTTAAGAGGGCTCAAAGTGTAAGCTTGCGCGCCGGCACGCTTCCCGTACTCCCACGTGCACTTGCTACATGCACCGCAAAGAACGTCCGCCGCGAAACGCAGCGTGCCCCTCCTGTCCGGGCAACAACCGTGCAGTGTTCGGCCACGTCTCCCGTGCAGGGCAATAAAAGGCGCTGTCGCGGCGCACGGCGGAGCGCACCTTGCGCTGCCTACGTCGTCGCCCGCAGAAGCCGCCAGGTGCGTCACTCCGCACGCCGCCCAGGGCTCTTGCGCCCAGCGTTCCCCAGGTGGCCACTGCGCGTGGTCCAGTTGTGCGCCGAGTGAGGTAAGCAGATCAGACTGTGCTGACCCGACAGAGCTGCGACTGCCCCGCTTTTGGGCACGCGCGGACTTCCCAGTGCACCCCCCGTGCCGAGGACCAGGCTCTGGGCGGCACACGACGATTTCCGTGGCACAGCTGTGTACTGGGGCTGGGGAGCATGGTCGCGCTTGTCGCGGTGACGTTGTCACCGTGCCCGTGCCGTACGGTGCAAGGGGGACACGTGCCCGCGGCTGCGCCCTCACAGCTCACTGCAAGCAGAAAATAACGCGAACCGGCTTTGTTGAACCGGACATTGCGTGCAATCATGGTGGAACCATTGATGCCATCGGCTTGTTTCGCGGTGTCGCAAGTCACAAGCCCGAAGGGTTGGCACCTCGGCAAGGCGTTTGCTCGTGTCGTGAATTTGCAATTGATTTGAGTCAATGGCAAATTTGTTGTTATCACTCCCAGTTATGGGCAATGCAGATTTCATATGGATTCCAGCGTCTTTGGAAGGGGGGCTAAGTCCAACTGTTCCAAAACAGGTTTCGCTCGCATATGGGGTGCCTGCCAGCCCAAATTTAATTCCACCGGATGCCAGTATGCCAACTCGAGGATGACCAACGTCATTCCAAACAGTACATGTGCATCTGCTTGATTTCACGGCCATCATTGCCTATCAGGTGCATGGGCTGTGTTTTGTCATTGTCTGACGAATGTAATGGATGGATTGTCATGTTGACAGTACATTTGCCCCAGAGAAGCCACCCAGCCTCTTGCTGCATTGGCCGCCCAGGTGCCCAAGGCTTATTCCGTTCACTGTCCATTTTTGCAAGTACAACAGGAGACAGGCTTACCCAAAAAGGGCGGCGACGCGATCGTGGGGGGTAGCATGGGCCATTTCCAGTTCCTTCCTGTACTTTATTGAGAGTGCCATGATCAATGTACGGGGGAATGGCCATACATAATGTTCTCCAGGCAGGTCATGACCAGGCTTGTTACATCGTGTCTGTGGCTTTTCCATAATTACGTGTTGTTGTATGAGTAGTTATGCACAATGGGGACCTGCAACCCTTGACTGGCTCTAAGTTTGGCGGTGTGCTGATCGAGGGCAACAGCCAACAAGCAAAGGGGCAGTTGGGCCAACAGCCAAGCACAACGTATCCAACTCGGAAGTTGGACCCAGGACTTATGCCGTTCACCACAGCATGGGGCCACCACATGACCTCCCTGCCTGCCCACTGGGTATAGGTCCGATTAAAGCACTAACGCATCTATGCATTAACGCATCAATGCATTAACATGAAAACTAACATTGCAATGTTACAATATTCCCTGCCCCTCATCTGTGCTTGCTCGCTTTGCAGCACCCCAATCAGGGCTACTCGTGCGATGCAATTGCTGACTTGGACTGACAATGGAGCGCCAGCCGCTGCCGTCGCCAGTTAAATGTTGTGTTGCATGCATGAGTTTCCAACAACAACCCATGACAGCTCGAGTCTCTACTCGCCGCCGATTCTCCCCAGTGCACCCGATCCGTCGTTCCACCTGCTGATTGTCGTTTCATGGCTCTCTGGGCAGCTATGTACAAGGCGCCAATCACCAAATGCTGTTGCTGGTCATTGTCGACATTAGCCACGGCCAATGGTCCATATCTGTGCCCCCCGATGCGCTGCTCTCCGGACATCCATTGGACCGTACCCTGCTCGCCACCCTGTCGGGAGGACTTGCCCTCTGCAACACCAAACAGCCAAAACGCCATGTCTGGGCATGGGCGCCCCAGCGGGCATGAAAGAAGGATTGCACAGGATGCTCTTCCCGTGGCGCGGAGACCATTCCAGCCCCCTTTCTGCCTTGCTTCGATCACAGTGCAATGGCATAATCTCAAAGCGCCCACGGCCAGGACCCCTCCCCTTCCCAAGAGCGCTATTTGTAATAGGGTGAAAACAGTGTCTTCCCAGACAGCGAAAGTGACAAAAGAATATGAATGAGACAAAATGAGGGGTGATGACACCCGTTGATGACAACAATGACGTCTGGTGCGCCGCCTGGCTGACGACCAGGTGTCACCACAGAAAACTTGGCTCCGCTGCCTTGTTGGCCGCAATCTTGCGAGCTGATGATTCGCGTTGTCAATATCAGGTTGGATTGCAGTGTGCATCGCTTTGACAACCCGTGCACCCACCAACCTCATCTATCACCTTGGCCCTACAACAGAGCCGTTCCTCAAGGCGAGGGAACTACCGAATCCCCAAGGCGCATGTCGAAAGTCCTGGACATGGCATTCTTCTGTTCAACCATCATCGACGCAAGGATATGAGCTGCCTCTGTGCGCGGACCTGCAGACCTGGCATCCCATGGCATTCACAAAACATGATGCAACGGCGCCCGGTCCACTCATACCGCCTAGACCTCCTCTTCAGGTGCCAAGCCTTCCCAGGCCACATCGCCCCAGTGCTTTTGCAGAAAGACGTGCCACTACTCCAGTGTCTTGGAACGAATGGCGCATTTGCCTATGCTATTCTTGTTGAGCCTGACGACCCTCATTCTGTCAGTAATGCGTTGGGTTTATCGTCCCTGGGAGATGGCTTGCGCAGGCCCCCATACTGGAAGGCTGTGGGCAGACTGGTGGAGGCGCTGGTGCCCACACTGCTGGAGCCGTTGACAGGCAGGCAGTTGATGCCAGGGGCCTGGAGTTTTCTGGGGGTGGAGAAGCGAGTGACAAGCCTCTCCAGTTCGCTCAGCGTAGTGCCGTTGGCCTGGTGGAGCTCCACGCGAGGCTGCACTGGCAGGGTGTGGTCCCTCCTGAGGGGCATCACTTCGAAGGGGTTGTACGCCGCACCTGGGCTGAACAGGATTTCGACCCGGAACCGCTTGGGGTCGTTGAAAGGGACCTGCGACGTCGAAGCGAAGTCAGATCTGGCGAAATGTGGCAGCCATTGCAGCGATTGCGATTGCCATGGTGCAGCAGAGCACTGCTGCTACGCATCGAATGGGGTATGAAAACAACGACGGGGCCAGAGGCAGTCGTGAGGTGCTGCTGCTGTCCATGCAACAATGCGCATGCCTGGGACAAAATACGTGCTTGGTCATGCAGGATATGGAACGATGAATCAAATCTCCAAGCGCATGTAATCAGCCCAACTCATGGCGCAGTTGCATCCCGCTGTCGGCACACAGAGGACCCCACATTCAAAGCATTTCACTGCTGACATTTCAGCCTGGACAATGGGGCGCCTCCATGGCTGGTACATTTGACAACAACATCCAGCATACCTCCTTTCAAAATGATGACATGTTACATGTTACATACTATCTCTGTTCCAAAAGCCGTGTCGCATCTGTAATATACACGAATGGAGATCGAAATATGCGAGTCAGTAAAATTGACCAAACAACTTCGATGCACCATACCAAGAGCCATCCAAAGAGTCCTCTACCATGGCAACCGGCTCTGCTGTTCTTGCGACATGGTGAGCAAATGAAACGCGATTTTGCAATTTGCTGGGACCTAGGACGGGGCATATCGAGGTTGTCTTGCCCAGCAGACGAGGTGGATCGACCCTGGATATCTCTAAGAGAGCGGCATGCCTTGTTGGCTCGGTCTGCACTGAGGATATGGCTTGATTCCAAACAGAATCAATGACGAAAAGGATCGGATTTTAGCACAGAATCTGGGGTGTTAACAAGAACCGTGTCAAGGTTGTGGCAATGTCCAAGAGACACCTCCACCTGTGAAACACACTTACCTGGCAGACTATCCAAGTTCAGGAAGGTCACACATACCAAGACTAGATTGAGGCACAAATGGCCAAATGTTGAAACCAGAATTTCGGAAATATGATTTAGCGTACTGGAAGAACCAATGAGCAAGAAGCACGGTAGCGTCGACACCAAGATTCTTGAAAGGGTGTAGTGGTGCCTATGTGTTGTCAACAACAAAGTTCTCCATGAATTTGCGAAAACGAATTGGGACATTTGGGAATAAGGCCAGTGCAGCAATGTGGGGAATTGAGGACCTGCATAGAAGTGGACAGGGGCATTCTTGACAAGACTGTGACTATTGTTTTCTACGGTGATGACTAATATCACCAAGACCCGTCTCAACCCGAAATCGACCAAGCAATCCGGAAATGGTGACGAAATTGCCTGATTGAGTTGATCCTGCAAAGTTGTAGTAAGAATGACAGCTGCGACACGACCTTTGGAATGGAGGTAGTATGTTGCAGCAACACAGCGATAATCTCTCACTTCCAAGCGCAACCTTGCACACACCTGTTGATTCTCATACATTCTGAAGACGATGTGAGACAGGTAGTCAAGCTCTGGCGTGTTGGTCAGGATATTCAGCCCACTCTCACAGACCAGCGGCTGTGCGTCGTCAAGCCCGGAGTGGCAGTACCTCAGGACGTTAACCAATGCATGGATGTGGCTCTCAGATGTAAAGTACACACGAGTGCGCACGTGCCGCATTGGCGAGTTGATGTTCACAGCATACGAGGGGCACAGCCGGTGCAGACTGGAGTCTGTCTCCTGATTTTCCCCTGAACCGAAAGACAGGTGAAAACTCCCAATGTCAAATCCCAGACCCACACGGCTGCATCTTTGCTCACAGGGTTTGGCATACCATGCAATACTTTCATGAACCCCACTACAGAGTGTTGCAAGTTTGTACACTCCTGAAGCTGCTACACGAGAATTAATGAATAATGTCAGCCATCCTTTCGACAATACAATGCATGGGAACAGTGCTTGTCAAGCAGAAGAAGAAATTAACTGTATTCAGCACCCAGGAGTGGTGCGCATTGACATGCATATCCCTCCCCTTGAATTCATGATGCAAATGCATGTTGCTGCTTCTCGAGACTCCATCGGGCATACCATGGGCAATTACAAGTACACAGCTGCATCACTTTTCAGGAGATTATCGCCACTTGCCTCGCAACAAAACAAATTGCGAGGATCTCAAGGACAGGCTGTTGGTTGCAGCTCGCACAAGTGGCACCAATTCCGGAATAACGTGGCTGGCACACCTCTCCGAATTCGGCGCTCCACAAGCCGTTTCATGCAACACAGTATGGATTAACAACCTGCCGATAATTGCTTCCTGGGCGCCAGGGAACGGCGTGTCAAGATTCGACAATTGCGTCGACTATACACAGCCGCACCATCATTATCTTCTTCAGAGCCAGCATCATCCTTGGTCCACTTGCTGTAAATGTTGGGAAGGTTCATTGGGTGGTCTTCAAAGCCATACGCCCCAAGCTCGGCGTCAAACAAGCCGCCCGCGCCATCTCGCTTTCTTGGATTGAAGAACATGTTGGCAGTTGCTCTGCTCTCCTCTCGTGTGTTTCCCAGGTCGGCAAGAAGCTTGCCGAGCAGCAGAGATGATATTTGAGACCCAATCCGCAGCTTCTCCTCTGGCAGCACGCCATATTCATTTGGGACGACGCCGACCGCCAGTGCACGAGCAGTCTCATACAGCTCCTGGACATTTGCATATTCCACAGGTCAGAAGGAGAGGCCCTTGGAAAAGCATCAGGGCGGCTGTCAGCACCACACTGAATTGTGTTGTTCTCTCACTGGCCCACATGTTGCGTGTAGGCTGCATCCTTTCATCCAAGTCTGCTGTTCTGCACACCACAGCAGGAATGCACCTCTCCATCTGCATCCCTGCCATCAATTGCCCCGCAGGCAGAACTCCCACAACGCCTGCAAGCAGCACTGGACACCAAAACTAAACAGTCCCACCAACCAGCAATCAATCAGGATACACTGCAGGCAGCAGAGTGGCTCAGCATTCGCCAGTTCCTTCTGTGGCTTAATTCGTGGTAAGTTGCATGGTATGCATGCCGCTCGATTCACGGCAGCAAGAGGGCAGCGGGACTTGTGGCCTCACAAACTCCACAGCCAGGGTGTGAACAAAAAAATGAGTCTGCAATCGACAGTCAGTGCCACGCCTGTTTTGTCAGTCGCTGCACTGGCATATTGCACAAACCTCCAGCTTGAGGTCCAGATGCTGATTGTGGATGGCATCATATTTGACAGAGTCATAGATGTCAGGCACTTTGCTAATGTCGAAAGAGTCCCTTGTCCTATTGTAGAAAGATCTTGAGAGCTTCCTCCAGCGGTCATAGAGCAGCAGGGGCCTTTCCCCACAGCAAGGCTTGTTTGGCTCAAACACCCACGCACTGGGATCTTGGGACAGGCTGCTGTAGACAGCGTTGCCACGAGTCATGCACCCTTCTGCCTTGCACTTTTGATACAGCTGATCCATCAAGTCCTGCACAATGGGGGCCACACATGTGATCCGTGTCACATGGATCCCCATCAATGCCAAGAGCTTCTGCAAAACGTCTCCAAACCATGTCATGCAAAATTCTGTGTCAAACAGATGGATGCACAGACTGCAAACAAGGCCAGAGCTTGCAGACACTATTGCCACAATTAGTTCATATAGTGCTACATGATTCAACTGAACCTTCATCTCTGCAGGTGTCTGACCCTGCCACACTGCTCGAGGTTATTCAAACAAACCATGTGAACTGCCACTGCCCATGGTCACCAACAAATAGGAAAAACAACAGAACAAAGAGAACAAAGCGGCAAAATCACAGCTAGAGCAAAAGCCTGTGCAACCCTCTGGCATGTGGCTTTTCGAGGTCCTGAGCGCAGCATGAACACAGATCGTGGCGATCCATTGCATTGCACAACAGACTACACACCCAACCTTGTTGCCTGTGGAGCACATGAGCTATGAGCAACAATACAACCCCACCCACACCCCGCACCTCCTAAGGAAGGAAACATGGAAAAAGAAGAAAAAACGAACAAAAGCAGTCGCCAACAGAAACAGAAATCACCTGCAAATCGCTAACCAACTTGTAAAGCAGCTTCAACGGGCTTGGTGGCAGGCCCTGTATATCTCCTTTGGCTCGTGGTGGGGCTTCCTTGCTTGTGTAAAAGGGGTTGTCAGCCCCATAATTCCCTGCAGCAACTTGCCTATCTGACAAAGCAATACCTCCACCTTCTTGCAAGTTGTCCATTGACTCCAAGGGGGGATCCAAGGAGGATGCTGCCACTGAATCTTGGCCTGCTATCGGTTGTCACAGGAACAGGGGCAGCATCAGGAACATACAGAGGCATACTTTTCTTTGAAATCTTACTCCCAATATAGCCAATCTGCAGTGCGTTTGCGACCTGTTTGCATCCCCAATGTGTGGGGCTGCGGGTGGCACATTGACTCCTGAACATGATGCTACAATTCGGTTTTAGATAATGACTGGATTAACTGGCCTGGTGGGGAGCATAGGGCTATGTTGCTTGGCAAAATGCAATTGTGCCTTCCTCAAACGGACAGCAGACGATACAAGGGGGGGAGGCAAGTGTGGTGTCCAACACATGCAGTTTAATGCATCGGCAAACTGCATCTGACATTTTGCAGACTGAACATATACTGGACTGGATGGCTGTCCACCCATGATCTCCAAATTCCAGCAGTTCTTGGAGATTGGTCATCTGCTTCAGCAACATTTTGGAGAGACTTTTGTCCAGGCTGTTCAAGATGATGCAGAATATTCTGGCTGCACCAGCAAATAACAAATGGTGCAGGTGGACAACATGAGGAGTGTAACAAGTTGCAACTGGTTACAACTGCAAGTTGCAACTGGCAGAGTTACCTGTGATCACAGGTGGTACTGGTGAACGAGGGTGCGAGGGCCTAGGAGAGGCAACTGGGGGCCGAGTGAATGCAGCCGATTTGATGTCCTCATCCTTTGTCATTGGCTCGTACAGGGCCAATTTTGCACGCTGAATGTCATCTGCTGCCTTGTCACAGGCGTCCAGCATGCCAGCCTCCTTCTTGACAAGACTTGCCAGGATGGGGGTCAAGGAACTGCCCTCCAAATCCAGAAGTCCCTTGGTGAACGCTGCAGCAGATGCTTGAACCCTGCCTTCGTCTGATGAGTAGATCTTTAGGTCGTGCCGATATGTGCTGTGTAGCCGCAGGAGTCCATTGTCGTACTTGCTGCATTTGCACACAAGGGAGCGTCAGGTCATGGACAGACCTCGCCTGCAAGGTACAAGGGCATTGTTTTGCCATGCAAAGCCAAACAGTGCTGAACACCTACCAAACACAAACCAGGCGAGGGCCACAGATCCTGCCAAAGGTGAAACAGCACAACCAGGCTGCTACAACACACAGATGCAGCATTCTTACCAACAGCCTGACCGCTGACAATAGACCGTCCACAACAATAGTCCACCCATGCCAACACTCTTATGCATTGTCATGTCATTGATGCTTTGGTCCATCTTTGATGCAGGGGTTGTGGCACAGCCTGATTCATGGTAGCTAGCTCTGTGGAACGCATTGCTCTGCCTGATACTCTGTAAATTCTGTGGCCCAAAGTGATAGGACCATGTACCAAGGTAGACAATGAAAGCAACGATTTGTTGCCAGATAAACGACATCAATGGAACCAAGCATCAGTACCTTTCATCCTGAGTTTGGCTGTACAGGTGTTTTCACAAGGGGTTGCATCATTGTATTCACCTTTAGTGGTGTGTGCCCAAAAGCTTGCTTCACACTGTTCTCACTGCATGCGAGTCCTTTTCTTAGGGATGCATGTTCTCTGAGACAGGTGGGTGTGTACGTTGCTGTAACCACTGTCGAATTTTCAACCAGGTCCTGCCTCTCTCTTGCACCAGATGAGCCCACCAACCTGGGGTACATTGCTGTCCTGAAGTATTTTCCAAGGTCCTCGCTTTGCCGGCGGCCCGCGTGTGTCAGCACGCCACCATGCTTGAGAATCAGCAACACTTCTTCCACCTTGCGTTCGCTGTCTTCATTCCCGCTCGGTAGCGACCATGATAGTGGCTTGAGCTGGACCTTCCGATTGATGCCAGCGAAATGGCCACCAGCCTCCAAGACATTTATGAGAATTTGGAACTTCTCCCGAACTTCATTGCACTGCAGCAGAATCAAGCAGGGAACAATGAGTATCAGGGCATCGACAAAGCAGAAGTGGTCAAACAGTGCTAACAGTGCCAAAATCTTTCAGCACAGGAATGCCAAGACGTTGACAGAACATGTTGGTCTGCAGTGACATAAACGAAACAAAACTGCTCTGAAAACATGCTCTTCCAAGCACAAACACGCAATGTTCAGCATGTACGCCCACCCACCAGTAATGAAACGCAAGTGCTTGTGTACCCAGTGCACACAGACAAGGAACTTGGTGCTTGCAACCAGAAAAATCAAGTGAACAAACAGCTGATGTGCACAGGCCCATGACAGGTAGATAGACTCCTGCCACCCCTGCGTGAGTTGTGGAAACCAACATGCTCAATGTACCACACAGCAGGGGGGGTGCGGACCTCAGACACCATGACCTCACTGCCCCTGGTCTCATAGCCCTTTTCATCAACGCCGCCTCCCATCCCATCGTCTGATGAATAAACTGACATCTCATGCAGCAGGTCTCGAGTGATGTCCAGTAATTCCTGGAGTTGCTTTGGACTCTTCAGCTTTGCTTCTTTGCCCTTCTTGTCCTTGTGTCTCTCGTACAGCTCCAAAAAGGGTGCCTTCACAGGGACAACAGCATATAAACCATCAGTTAACCATTGGTTTGTCCACAGTACACTGCAGTCTTGCACAAAAGTTGTCGCCACTTTCCAGGTCATCCAGTTGGCGCTGGAACCAACATCGAAAACACCAGCATATTCGAGAAACTTCTTCCCAGCAGCTCAACCTGGTTGGAGCTGCACATAGCACTGGGAGCATGAGTGCTAGTGTATGTCCATCTGCTCATCTGGCCATATCGCATCAAAAAATGACAATCAATCGGCCACAGAACCTTTATCGTTTGCTGAAAAGAACCACACTGTTGCATGCACATGGGGCCACTGTATGATAAGCATCCATTTGCAACAACAATTACTAACTACTTCTGGTTGTCAGTGCATCTCCCAGCACCCCATATTCTCTCCACCTGCCCACCTGAGAAACCTTCATTTTCATTTTCTGCTTTGGTGTCCTGTCACCATGCCTGACGATGGCCAGAACGCAGCGAAGCTCCTCCCATTGGTACTTGTCATCCTCCCCCTGCCCATCCGCATCCTGATAAGCAGCTTGTGGGATGAGGTCATCGAATGAAGATGACAGTCTAAGGTGGTCTTCAATGTTGGTGTCAGCCATCTGCTGCGCCCGCAAGTGTGGCAATCGGGGGATGTTTGCTGAGAGCCGATGTGGAGCGATGGCAGCAAGAATCATGCTGCAGAGGCAGTCGCAGGCCCAGCCAAAGGTCAGAATTCAAGACTTGCAAGCATTTGCAGCGGAAATTCCCAGAAATGGCGACTGTGGTGAGCCCGAACAGATGCCTGCCAGCCAACAAACGGCAGGAGACTATCCACAAGCAGGGGGCTGCTCTCAAAGCCTGACAGCTTCCAAACAACTATCCACATTTATTAGATCTCATCAGTCACAGCAGCTGCAAGGGGGCAGGAGGTGTTTTTGGACTGGAAACTGTGAACAGTGCATCGATGTGAGCAGATGAAACCAACATCTTCCTTCCAGTCATGCACAAGCAAAAGTTAGCTCAAGGTGGAAAAGGGAAAGGACACTGGACTATTGGCATAGTTGCATGTACCAGTGGCATTTCACGCAATTGTCTCATGCAAACAAAACTGAATTCCAATATCTTGTTGAACTGCAAAAACAACCATGGACCGACAACAATCAGCCTCCTACAAATTGGGCTGCGCCACCACAGCAATGTACGGTGGCACTTGCAATGTACAATAACAACTGCAAACAGCACCCACCCTCTCAAGATTCCAGCAGCATCGTCGTAGTATTTATGTGAGCTCTTCACAAAACTCCAGCCGTTGACGTCGCAGACATAAGACCTGCCATTACCGGACCTCAGCAGGTCGAAACCACAAACCTTTTGGCCAAACGCAAATGTAATCATGCGGGCAATCTCCTTCTCTTGGGGGCTCAGGAGCACAGGAAATCGGACCTCTTTTCCTTCCCTCGTCCTGACCACCTTTCCATCCACGACAGGTGACTTTCGGGCCTCTGCATGTGCATACCTCGTACCCACCTGTTCCGAAAACACAGTGCATGTGGATTGCAGATAGTGTACATTTGCGTTCCCAGTGCCATACTCAGTTCTTCTGGGTTGGGAAGAAACTGACTGGAAGGGAGCCAATATGGCAGTTGGTTGTAACTACGCACCTACCATCGCCAAGTAAAGTGCATGGATTTTGCTTTGTCAAGTGTGCAAAAGCAAGATTGTAAACCAGCGCCGCAAGTTCCTTGCTGAGGCTGTAAGCTCTTCAATGGTTCAGTTTGGAATTTAGGGGACACAAATTGACAGTCCTCGCAGCTGTCAGTAAATACCGTACCGCACTATTTGGATGCACAAGTATAATCCCATCAATACAAAACAGAGCTGTCACCACATCCGCAATGAGCATTTGTTGCGCAAGGTACACAACATGCCTGTGCACAACTGCCACATCATGAACTTCCTTACGCACCCTCAGTGCAGTAAAGACCTAATGTGCTTCACGTAAGTTCATTTTGCATCTGCATCAGACGCTACACCACGAAAATGAACCACAAATCAATTGGCATGGTTTCGATTGCAGCACTTTGGCAAGGGCCCCTGATTATGGCGCCCCAAACGCTACTCATGTGGCACATAATGTCTCCTGCTTGGAACAATCCAGCTCAGTTTTCACCACTTGAAATCAACCCTATGTAAAGCACAAAAACTACACAAACTCATAGTTGAACTGCTCCGATCATCGCTTGCTCTTGCAGCTCATCGTTGCAACGTGTCGCAGCACAAGCCCAAAATGGTTCTGCACCAAGTCGAAATTGCAACTCTTGTCATACTGCACAAAACGTATACTAAAGGGCACCTAGTCAACAATATACAGGCATTGACAGCTCTTCATAGTCACACAACTGTGCTCAAGCCATGAAAAACAACAGACAACATTCTGCCAACACCTGTGGCTGCAACCAGAGAAGATAACAGCAACAACAACTCCTGACAGCAGCCAGTTCGCACCGTGTAAACTTTTACATCTGTGCCCCCTGTTGTCAAAAACTCCTCATAGATGTACGATCCATTTCTTCTTATTGTGCCCGGGTGATTCCATTCATAGTCGGCAGACTTGTTGTTGATCTTCCTGTACAGCTTCTTCACACCTCCGCCCTGGATGTGATGGCAGAACAGTCGCTCACTGCACTGCAATTGGAGCATTTTCTTCCCCATGTGGCAGTCAACGGCAATACTAATGCCAAACCCAGTTCTGTGGGATCAAGGGGAACTACCAAGAGCACACCATATCCATCAGCAACAACAGGCAGTAACCAATCGAACTATTGGCCCAATCAATGGCATCTCCAATGCAATATAACTCAACAGTTGTGCAAGTGTGACCAAGATTGAACCAAACTGTACACAATTCCCTCCAGCTGTGCATCCAACGTCATGCTGAATACAGCCAATCTTCAGCACAGAATAGGACAACACAAATTTATGTGGATGCTTTTGGTCACTGCGACTATATTAGGATGGCTCTGACAGCCACGAGTTGATAGTTTGGCTATGTCACTGCAAAAATGCTGCTGACAGCCCCAGCATCGCTGGTCAGGAAGAACCCTCAGTAGGCCACCCACTCGATACACATCATCCACACCATGTGTGCTGGGTAGTAAATGTAGATGTTGTGATCTTCCCCGCTTGCTGGCTTTTCAACAAAAGGCTTGTGGATCGTCATTCCCTCAAACTCTATGTAATCCTCCTTTTCAATAAGGCCCCCTGGATCCTTGCCATCAGCATCACGGCTGATGATGATATGATTGGGAACAGGAATACCTGCTTCCTGTAGCAATGACCACACAAGACCTGATGTCCCTTGCTTTGCTATACCAATGTTAATCATAATATTTCCAAGCACCAATTGCATTAAGTGTATGTAGGAGGGCAGATTCTGATGTTTAAACAAGGCTATCAACAGCGACATGGTTCTTGCTCACAAGAGGAAACTACAGAAAATCACACAAGATTCATTTCTTGGCAAGGACGACATTGCCATCCTTATTCTACAAGAGAATAAATGTGGCTACTGGCATAATATGATGACAAACAGATGATGCCAGCAGTGCCACTGTTTTTTCTTGGTGAATTTGGCAACGATCAATGACTGGCACAGGCACTTCGTTCTCATGCACACCAGATGCAAACCCAAGAAGTCCAACTCCGCCACTTGCTATGTCTTCTTGTCGCCAGCTTGAAATACACCGCTTCACTGACACTCTGTCAGTGCCACCATGCCGTCCAACAATGGCCAACGTCTTTAGCTTCGCCTACCTTCAGAATGCCATACACTTTTCTGCGGTCCAGAAGCAGATGTTGCTTGGACAAGTCGTTGATGAGGAAAGGCTTCCTCTCTGCTGCGTACAGTGCTGCTTTCTTGATTGGAAAGCCCTCCGAGTGCCAGGATAACAGGCTGTCGCAGTCAGGCCATTCGTCCACAGTCTTGTTTAAAATCGTCTGCAAGGACAAAACGGGAACGACCTTACCCAACAAATAAAGAAAAGAGGCAAGGCCTGCAAACTGTGTTCCTTTGGTGTTGTTGCGGCATGGCAAGGAAATGAAAAACACAGAATTGGCTCCATGCTTTGATGCATGTGCAACCACATGTTGGTCATCATTGACATAAGTGTGATGGTTCCACATTATATGACACCTGCACAAGCCAGCAACACCAGCAAGGCACAGGGACATGCCACAAAAGCACTTCATGACATCTTCAAATTGTCGATCGTGTGCCAAATGTAGGAGATAGACATACCAAAGTTTATTCAATCCTTCTGCATCATACCACAACGCTTGGCCTTTCTTTTGTGAAGTGACAATAAGGAGTCCAAGGCCGTGGAAAATATGCAGAGCAGCCAATAAAGTAACACACTGGTTGGCTTCAAGAGGAGTTGGGTTTGCCAGAATCCACAGTGTGGTTGGGTGCCCATGCTGCACCCAAAGGCCATCTGGAAATCGTCGATGCTGCAGCCAAACCGGCCCAGCACCTGGGACATGCAGAACGTTTTGCGGCTAAGCGTTTTGTGGATGCCCTACTTGGGTCACACACCCTTGCATGTAGGAGGCTGTGAACTAGTCAACTGCACCTGAAACTTGGCAAACAGGTTCTACTGCGCAACCTGTGCCCACAGGACATCATCTGGGTTGGAATACGAAATGAAGAATGCTCTGTAAAAGAATGTGGAGCTAAATCGTAGAGCTGAATTTTTGGTGCGGAAGTGCTGAATATGTTACACAACGTTGCCAGCAAGTGCGTATTTCGTACTCATGAGACACAAAAAGGCCTCCCTCTCTGCGCACTGCATACCATCAGGGCTCAAAATCAAGACAATAAGACAGTGCTGCGAGTCCACATACAGATTGAACATAAACAACAAAAACTTGTCCACATAGCATACAAATGTCTATCCCCATGGGTTTTGCACCTTTGCCATATGTGGACAGCCTTCTTTCAAACAAGGAACGAATTCCCATCTTAGGGCGCAAGGGCACTTTGGAACGGCACATCGTGATTATAACATCAGTGTTCTCCATTGAACGACAACCAGGCGGCATTGAATGATCAGGAGTTTCGAATGCATTACCTCAAAACCCTGTGCACAGCTTTGCAAACAATGTGGTCAACAAGATGGTCAAGATAAGCCATCAAGTTGTGCTTTCTGCAGGATAATGATCATGCCAGATGCACCTGGGCGCATTACAGAGCCGTAGCACAAGTGGAAACAATGAAAGCTCCGCCCATTGGCAATTGCCAAGCCTCCCTGAGCCACGAATCTGTGTCCACAGGAAGGCGGCAGCACTCCAAAGGGAATGGCAGTGAAGGGAATTGGCTAGTGGGAAATAGCATCATGGCGTCCACACTTTACAGCAGCGCCCCCGTTTTGTGCGTTGTGAGGAGACTGAACACAAACTTGTTTGGTATGCGTGTGAGGCAGAAACTAGGCCGCTAAAACGTCCGAAGGAGCTCATGCAGCAGCTGTTACGCTGCGTGGGCAACGCAGCCCACGTCAGCACCGCCTCTTGGGGAACTGTCGAGGCTCGATGCTTACGTCGTCTCCGAAAATGTTGACCTCAAACTCTCCATACTCCAGCAGCCGCTTGACAATCTCAGACATAGGCTTGGACCGGGCCTGCTCCACCACCGTCCCAACAAACGAAAACATCTGTCCATCAGTCAACCGCGCTGCCGGTTGCTGGCGGCAAATGCAGCAAGTCAGGGTGCCCCTGATCCGTGACCGATCCGTGACCAATGCCATTGACAACAAGCGACAGGGGCCAATCGGCCGACGCCACGCGCACGCACTCGACGATCCAGCTGCGGACGTCGCGCACAGGCGCGACAGAGATGTCCAAATCCAGCCCCGAACCGGTGGCCCCAAACCCACACCGCCACGGTCGTCGCACCTTCTTGTCCATCGCGCAGACGCCCACGACGAACCTGTGCTGCTCGTCGTACGCATCGGCGCAGTCCGAAAACTGGCGCAAAACACCATCAGCGTGAGTGGCGACCGGAAACGCGGGCAGAATCGAGCCGGGCAGCGCGGAACCGAGAGAGGGTCTCCGGGGGACGACTCGCGCCGGCCCCATGCGACGCCACTGGGGGTGTGTGGTACCGATCGCGTGCGGCGCAGCATTGTGGGCTTGTGCTGTTCGTCCTCGTCGGGCCCCGGTGGGCAGGCGGAAGGGTCCGTGGCGCGGTGGGTGAGGGCGCCCCGCCCATCCCAACCGTCCTGAGACCGCCGAGGTTCGGGCATCTCCGCTCGCGGCCACGGTAGATTCCGCCAGGAAGCGGGCAGGGGAGCGGGGAGGCCCCCTATGTGGCACTGAGGGCAGCGGGCGCCCGCAAACGTACAAGGGGGTACAAGGGTGGCGATGAAGAATGAGTGAAGCCAAACGTGTGAGGGAGCGCCTGCTTTCGCACACCGACTGTGGGGCATAATATTACTGGCTGCACCAAATCGGTGACTGCTTGCACCAAGTCACGTGCACATCATGTCCAACTCCGTCCAAACTAACCTAACCTAAAACCTAAAACCTAAACCTAAACCTGTCCTAACCCTAACCCTAAAACTCACCCTGACACTAAACCTAACCCTAAAATTGAGGTTAGGACAAAGTGTGCACGTGACTTGGTGCAAGCAGTCACCGATTTGGTGCAGGCAGTAATATTATTTCCCGACTGTGGTGTCGAATCACGTGTTTGCTTTTGGACTGGGGAAAATGGCAAGAGGGGCCTTCCCAGGGTATCGTGACAATAGGGGTTCCTCAAAGACAAAAGGGGTCCTGGTTGTAATTTCCAATGACAGAAGGGGTTCGTCTGACGGCCTCCCCCCCCCCCCCCTTTTTGTTGCTTTGCCTGTCCGACACCAGGTGTAGGGTCATCTTTACCTCTGATTTCAAAGGTCAGTAGTGCACAAATGCACAGAAATTAATAGGCACAAATGCAATTAAGAAGAGTTTCGAAGTCCTCCTGGTGCCCGTTCATGTACGGAAAGCCACCTCGACTTTCATGAGGTGGGCTCCATCGTGTCTTGCTTGCCTCCATGGCTGATTTGACACAGCCGTGTGTGCACACTTCGGTATTCTTGCGGCGTTGGCCTTGTCTAAATGCACGACACCTTGCTCGCAGCGCGCCAGCTGTCTTCGATAACTTTCCGTGTCTTGATGTGGAGAACTATCTCCTGGGTGATGCTGCACCTGTCCTGCAGCGCATAAGTCTTTCGAAACAGGGAACACATGGCCCACGTTGGGCTCTGATACTTGGACATCGACGTCATGAATTGTCTTTGCATGTGCTGATGACATGACATCCAGTTGTCGGAGTACCTTTAATGAGCAGGTCCAGGCGAAAACCATATGTGTGTGCACGCACTGTGTGTGGGCATGGATACGTGAGATGCAGCCAGCCACTTCCACATCATGCGCAGCAATTCCATGCACTACATTTCCCAATGCGACGTGGCGGATAAAGCACTTGTGCCTTGCGGCGAAAGCAGGCGATACTGTGAGCTATTGCTGCTGGAATGATTTCAGCCTCAAGAAACCACGCGTCCACTCCGGACTAACACTTGTGGCTACCTGAGGACGACAATTTGATTTGGATTGTCGCAAGATGTCTCCAGCTTCCTGTCCCGCGACCCACACGTGCACGATTGCACATATTTCGAAGGAAATGGCCGAACATGACAGGGTATTTTGTGAACCGAAAAAGTATGTTATTTTCAACATGCGCGGCCCTGATCGCATTCTGAAAAGAGGTAATGTTCCACTATAACATATGACAATTGGTTGGCATGTAGCCCATTTCCATGACCCGACTGTGAATAACGTCCTTGGATGTGCCATGCATGGCTCCGGCCCCGTATGCCGGGCCTCCCCTTTCACTCCATCGTGCGCAGAACTCCATGTGACGTCACAAGAAGCGTCGCGAGCACCGCCGCCCTGAGCCACAGCGTCCACTTCCCAGCGCTGCATTACGCTTCGTTCCAACAGCATTATCCTTTCTTCGCCCTGCTCGCGATTCCCATGCGGCCTCACCATCGCTATTGCCCTACTAAGCCTGGCGCACCCAGGCCCGTGCCTCGGCCGACAAATGCGACCGCACCCTCGGTCATTCCGCAATGGCCAAAAGCGTCAATGCCACGGGCGGGGGCCCTGCCTGGGATTCCGGCGCGGGGCAGCAAGCCGCCAACCCACCCCCACCCAAATCGCCAGCCGCGGCCACCACCCCTCCACCGCCCGACAAGCCAGAGCAGCCCCCCCCAACGCCGTGGCCTAAGGGTCCGCCAGGCTGACGGCCAGGTCCCCGGCACAGTCCGTTGACAGAGGGAGACTGGTACCGACCGGGCGCGGTCGCCGCCGTCCACGCGCCGCCGAAGCAGCAACAGGGCAGGACGCGATAGGCGAGAGGCTTTGGAGCCGCCCGGGGGCCCCGGACGGCGTTTTCGGACAACGTTTTCAACAGATAGTGTTTTCGCCGGCAGCGGGCTCCAGGCGAGATGAAGGCCGCCGCGCAGAAGGCCGCCGCGGCCAGCAAGGCCGCCGCGAGCAAGGCCGCCGCGGGCAAGGCGGCCGGCGGCAAGGCGTCCGGGTTGAAGAAGAAGGCGGCCGCGACGGCCAAGGGGTCGGCGCTGGGCAGGGTGGTGGCGGCCAAGCAGGCGGCCGCGACGTGGGCGGAGGCCGTCAAGGCCAAGGCGGGCAAGGGGGAGGGCAGGGGGAGGGGAGGGGCGGAGGGCAAGGGGACGGCGAAGGGCGGCGAGGCGGACGTCTTCAACCCCAGCTTCGTGTCATCCCTGATCCAGGGCAGCCGGGAGCTTGTGGCCAGGGACGGGTCCCAGCAGGTGGATGGGGGAAGCTCGGGCGGGCGCCGGGGGCGGGGAGCGGCGCTTTTGGGACGGGATTTGCCGCGCGGTGCCAAACGATGGCGTGTGGTGATGCCCAGGGGGCGGGGGGGGGAGGGGGGTGGCAATTTCGCGAGAACGCGGCGGCCGAAAGGCTCTGCAGCATGCCCTCTTGCGCGACTCTAGGGCAGGGGCAATGTTGTGGCCTGGTCGTTGCTGGGAGTGCTCAGAACAGTAGAGGTGAAAGTGAGCTGTGTGCTGCAGGAGTGGGCGTGGTAGCTTGACTGTGCGCAACGTTGCATGCGTGGTTTGTGGAGGGAACGCAGCTTAGCACGTTGGTTCCTGTGCAGTGCAAAACGTTCAATGCCGATTATGGTTGATTGCAGAAGTCAGTTGGGCCACGTTCCTTACAGTTTGCTAGAATTGCGGTGCAACAGGCGTGGATGGCACATAGACTGTGTGGCATCAGCAGGCCCTGTCTGGTGCAGATGCCTGCCTGTCGACTGTCGACTCGATCGCTTGACCATCAGTCGATCATGCGAAAATGACACCTCCTGGTTGGCCCCCATGTCAGGTCGCCGGTCTGGCAAACGCGGAGGAAGGGGCAAAGGATAAGAAAGAGCTTTTGCGTGCCATGGTGGTGAGTCCAGTTGCACACAGGAACTTCTGTAGTGTGAAAAACTTCCTGCACAATTTTGTTTTGGAAAGGTGGGAAATATAAGACATCTGTTCCTTTGTGCCCAACAGTATTTTCAGTGGTGAGTTCACTTTGTCATGTGTCAGTTGTTTGTGCTGATGTCGATCCAATTGATTTAACATGTGGCACAAGTGTTTTGCAGAGTGTCACGCACCAAAGGTAGAAAGGGCTGCTGCTCCATGTATGTGTAGAGAACGTGTGCATACTAGTGTCGCACGACATGCACCTCAGAGCATTCCTGCAATGTGGGAGGGGCAATGGATGCAAGAATTATGTTTTTGTGCTGAGGTTGTGGACAGCCTTCAAAGGCAGCTTGACAGTGAGGGGTCCGCCCGAAAGAGAATGATACACAAGTTGAAGAAGGAGCAGAAGAGGGCGAAGCTAATGTGTGAGGTGAGAGGCCAGGGGGATCTGCTATGGCGAGGTGTTGGTGATCTCCTAGTTTTGTGGGTTGGGGTGACACACTGATTGCAAGATTGCTTTCAGACAATTCCACACCATGGAGTCCAAGGGGGCAAAACTCATGCTGGCAGCTGATGTTTTCAGTTGCTGGTGATCATCCAGCTGAACATGAGAATTTGTCGTTTTCTCAATCGGAGTCCATCTGCCTTACTCTGCACCAATCCATGAAGCAGTGCGCAGCTGTGGCAGCTGGCTTGTGCTGATGTCTTTTGAAGGACAGATATTCTGGACACTGGCCAGGCCAGAGAGCTGGCTGGCGATGCCTGTAGACAGAAATTCGAGGACCCTGAACACTGTGCTGTGGGGCTTCAACTTGCTTCTGGGTGGGCATCTGAAGGTGTTTGACTAACTCAAGCTGCCTTTCGTGGTTGCAGATTTTGCGTGAGCAGCAGGCCATGTTCCTTTATGAATCCAATGATGCTCCTCAGGACAATGCGGGCGATGGTTCGGATTCTGGGCTGTCTAGCAGGTATGCAGCTGTGTTCTTGGCCTCTACTGCTGAAACTGGCGAGTTGAGATGAATGCGCAAAACCAAGGGCGAAGCTCTGTAATACTGAGACAATTGTATGATCTGACCCTCAGTTTCCTTGCTGCCATACCTGTGGCCTGCTGGAACGGCACGGTCCACAGTTTTGCCATTGTCACTGTTAGTAATCTGCACAGGTCGGTGTGCAGTGTGGTGCTGCAATAGCAAGATTCAGCACTGCTACTTATGTGCAAATGGCTTTGGGTTTCCAGTGAGGTTCGAAAGTTCCTGCAGCTCAAATTCTAGCAGTGCAGATCGGTCTTGCGTAAACAGAGGAATTCGTTTTAAGAAGGCATTTAGCAGCAATGTGGCACCTGAGGAGTTTGTTGTGAGCTGCAGTGGAGAGTCATGGACTGGTAGGCGAACTGTTGAACTGAAATGGGGTCAGCTGTGAAGTTTGGGCTTTTGTTGTTGTGCAAGACTGGTTTCCAGGAAGCAAATCAACAGTGGGCAATGAGAAGCCATGCAGGTTGCTGTTGTGATTTTCAACTGCAGTTACTGTGCCACTGACAAGCAATTGATGTTTTCTACTCTAGCATGCAGCGTAATGGTGCGGTCAACGAGATTGCTGCCAAGATTCAACGCATTGAAAAAGAAGTCAAGGATCGAGAGTCTCAGATGCAAGAATTGGAGTCTGTCCAGATCGAATTTGAAAAGGATGCTGACAACTTGAGACAGACAGTACATGGCACCCTCAAGGAGCTTGGTAAGATACTGGAGGGGTCCATGTGTGCACACTCATTGACTACAGGGCCATGTGTTCTCAACTGTTGTTTTGGACAGGCATGCATTTCTGGCCATTAGCTCCATTGCACGGACACTAACATCTGACCTGCATTCCTCGAACTGTTGAATGCAATCCCTTGAATGTCAGTAGCTCTGCGCAATGGCACCCTCAGGTGCTCGTGGAGCCGAGAGTGCCACTGTTCGTAAAGAAATAGAAGGGCTGAGGGCTGCAGTGAAGGGCAGTCTGGACAAGATTAGGAGACGTGAGGAAGAGAAGGAGAGGAAGATAGCACGACAGCAACAGGTTGGAATACGAACTTGAACCATGCGAGCACAAGGAACTACTTTGGGGCCTCAGGAGCATTTCATGGGCACTAAATGTGTCTCTATGCCGCTGTGCTGTGCCCATTGTGACGCGTTCCCATTGCATCGATGTCAACCTTGGCAGTGAGAAGATTGGCAGTCGCCTGAATTTTTAGGAGGTTGAAGGTGGATACATTTTTCAACAAGCGGGAGCAGTCACTGGTTTCGCTGGTATTCTAATTCCAAGTTCACTATTTTCTACACAAGCTCCTACATTTCCGTTTGGCCCAACAGATGTGAAGAATATACCTGCAGACATTGGGTGAGAAAAAATCATGATGCACACAGACTGTGAAAAGTTGTGCGACAAGAGTGTTTGACTTGTCAGGCTTCAGTGGGCTGGATGGCGTGCAAAGGCCTGATAAAGTGGGAGGACTTACAGATGCAGGGATGTTGTTTTGGTAGGCTCGTGACGAGTTTTTCTTGACCAGACTCTCAGAGGTCGAGGCGCGTGCGGCAGCAGCTGAAAGGGAGCTTGGAGCTGTCACCCATGGAGTCGGACGGCTGGACTCAACTTTAATGGTGAGGCACACGCCATTGCACACATTCCCATTTTGTTTCTGATACTGCTGGGTGCATTGCATGACGAAATGGGTGGGCCTCCAGCAAATGAACGAGGATGGCCTGTGTGGACAGCCAAATATGTCTTGGCGATTGCTGCCATGCTCTGTGGTTGAGGTAGAAGAGTTGTGTGGTCTATCGAAGTGCGTTTCATCAACAAAAGACTCACTTGGGACCCCAAACTGGCCTTGTGTACACACAAGGCTGAGCACTAGCTCTGGCTTCTACGGCTCCGGAGAAAATGTCATAAGTTTGCAAAGCAATGTCTGCAAGATATACGGGTGTTTGCGCCTCTTCATCATACAGCGCAGTGAAGGGAGTGGTTCATGGCACTGTTGTTCTCAATGGTTGCTTCGATGGGTACGGTGGCCCAGGCACGCAACCCCATGACAGCATTTAGTGATACCGCACCTTCTGGTCATTCCCACTGCATGCCTGACCACAGCTGTGTGTTGTGCATGGTAGCATTTCCCTCAGCCCAGGGACGGATGCAGCTCTAGCGTGAAAACCCAACGTTGCACTGCCGAAAGGCCGTTGTTTGTGTGCAATCGGGCGCAGAATTCATGCACGCAAAACCGTGTGCGCATAAACGGCGTGGTGACGGTTTTGCGCTTCGGCCATGTCAGCAATCCGAGTCCCGAATTCATGTCCACGTCCCCACAGTTGCGCGTCGTTGCTCCTTTTCCTGGCCACTGACTTCGCACCTCCCTTGTGGCGCAGAGAGCAGAATCCAGGCTGATGGGCAACGACGCCCTGGGGGTTTCATCCCCCATCCGGACGTCACCTCACATGTCCCGTGCCGCCTCTCCGCTGCGGGGCACTTGCGCTCTCACCTTTGCCGGCTCCCAGGGGGCCTTCCGCCCCACAACAGCCACCCACTGCGACTTTCACCACCCGCCGTCCAGGTGCTGTTGCAGCCACGCAGGGGCCGGCAGCCCCGGCTGGCAATCCTCCCCAGCCTCGCCCCGAAGCTTCAGCCCGTTGAGCCACTCACCGGCGGGGTGGAGCGACGTGCCCCAGTACTGCGCGTCCAGGCGTTGCCCCACGAATCACGGCTTTGATCCCGGGGCCCAGGGGATGACGGATTCCACTCGGCAGCGACACGCGCCTGGAAGAAGCGTGTCTTTCCAGGAGGGCCACCACGAAAGCGTAAATTTCGAGAACGACAGCAGGAGGGGCAGGGCGATAACAATTCCCACCACCACGACCATGAATTCCAGCTACTGGGACGCGGCGCCTAAGAGCGGCGTTGGCGGAGAGGGAGCTGAAACGGGAACAAGTCGAATGCCCAATGGAGAAACTTGCAGCCCGCAGGACGGCGGCCAGCAGCGAGAAGCAACGCCGCTGGAGTCGCAAGCATCTACAGGACGGGACACATCTCATCCTGAATGCACCCCGAACACGGTGGGAAGGAACACACACACTGACCCTCGGCACGCGGCAGGACCCACGCTGTCACAAGGCACTGATGAGTTACCTCCGGGCGCCAGCCGGGGGCTCGACATAAAGTCAGCCACCGACGTCCTTAAAGGTGCCTTGGAGGACGTCAGATCGCAGCTGAACTCGGGCGAGGGGGATGCCCACTTGCTGGCAAGGCTGGAGGACTTCATGGGGAAGCTCCATGAAATTGAAGGTGAGCACGACGCAAAGGTCCGCAGTCTGGAGAGCGAATGGAGCACGAGGTTGGCGAGGGCCGAGGAGCGGCTGGCGCAGTCCCTCGAGGTGGGCAAGCCATGGCGTCGCGTCAAGCATCATGGCCTAATCCCTGCTGGAGAAGCAAACACACAAAAAGGTTGCATTTGTTGCAGCAGGACACATCAATGCCCTGTGCCGAATGCGCAAGCCGGGATAGCACAGGTTCCAGCAGGAAATCGGCCTGCATGCAGCAACACCAGGACCTGTAGATACAAGTGCTCGCAAACCACGGAGAAGGCCATTCTTGTGGGAAGGAAAACGCAATGGGAGCGCGTTGCAGCTGGAGATATTTGGAAACAGACAGGATTGGCACCGTTGCTAAGTTACAATAACCATGCATGGCCCAAATCGTGCACTGTGCGCATCAGTCGGAATCCATGCCAACGAAACGTAGGCGCAGAAACGAATGCCGCAACAGGCGCCATTATCAGCGTCGCACAAACCCAGTTGTGCGAACACAAGCCACCGCAAAGCTGTGCACGATAGTGTGTGAATATGTTTACGCAGTTTGAAATACATTCTAAATGGCCTCACACTGAAAAAGAAGCACAGCCTACGAGAAATGGAGCCATCTAAACGGAAACTGCACCCCGCGGCTTTGCCTCATTTTCCTATCGGGGTCATCATAACCTTCATGGTCGCCATGGTCACGCCAGTGCCATCATCAACATCTTGGTGCGATGAGTATGCGGCGGTGACCTTCAGGAACATGAGTCATTGAGGGTGCTGATGACTGCAGCCCAGGCGCATTGCCGCGTGTTGGACACACAGATATCCAACAAGGACCATGAAATCCAGCAGCTCCGGCAGACTCGGCGTACACCGGTGGATGACACCATTCCTGGTCTACTGGCTGACCAGGCGGCCGTTAACCGAGAAGCTGACGATGCCCTGCAGAGGCTGGAAATCGAGAATCAGGAGCTAAGGTGCAACTCATTAAAAAATTGAAAAGCAATCGATGTGCCGTTATGACCGCAGTCTCGATGCACATAGTGGTACGCATCGCAGCAACAAGTTGACACACCTCATGCAAAGTGCTTGCGCTGTTTGGTCAGTTCGGTGATGCTTGGTTCCTACACGATAATAAGATAGAGTTTGTCTCAGTCTTCAAAACGTGGGATGGTGGGGTGAGTTTGTAGAGTGGGATGACCACACGTGCCTTCATATCACGTCCCGTTCCACTTCGCAATGTGAATTCATTCACAGTCCATGGGCGTTGATATCATGTGATATCATTACACGTGACAATCACAGGCAGCGATGATAAGAATAGGATCAAGTCGTCATGGTACTGTAAGTGCCACTAGGGAATGCACTTAATGGCTCATCAGAAACTCTCTGAGCTCCTCAGAGCCAACCAAAACGCTGGCATTAGGAAAGCCCGTCCTGCTGTAGACCGCACCCCTTGTTCATTGTCAAGGACCTGGTACACCCGTGCCCAAGGAAGCTGTTTGTCACCGCCCATCACAGACTGTTTTCGCAGAAGGCAAAATACGGAGATCGAGATCCAGAATGCCACCGCGACAGTGAGTTCGGTACAACTCAAACGGGAAGGCGGGCCCTTGCAATAGAAGCTGCCTAAATTATTGTTTGAGCATCGCTCCTTGGAAAGTCCGGCAATCTCACGGCCAACGCATTTCTCTCATGGCGTCAGGGCACAAATCGCAGAGGCGGCAACAGAAAACAGGTCGCTCAAGTCAAAATCCTGCGCCCTTGAAGGCGAGGTGGAACGGCTGCACGGGTGCCTCTCAGACACGAGGAACCATTCCAAGGAAGTGGAGGCGTCCAGGGACAGGTCTCAGGCCCGGGCTGACTTGATGGAGAGTGACATAAGAAAACTCAGGTGCACGTTGAAGGAGGCGGAGAGTCAGCTGCAGGAGGTTCGCGCCGATCTCAAGCAAGTGAAGGTACGGGCTGGACATCGCGAATCGCGGTATTCCCTGCTGAGCACCGAGGATCTATGTAGCGCATACGCCAAATAGGTATATTTGCGGGTTTTGTCCTTGCTCTTTTCATGACCTGGCGTGATAGGCAATTGCGCTCATCGCTGCATACCACTGATTATCCTGCAACCATAACTTGGCGCGATAGCCCGTTGATGGGTTGTGCGAAGACTTGTATCGCCGGCATGTAGAGACCAATGTCTGCTTGCTGTAGTCCTCTTTTCTCGTTGGTGATGCGTTTGAGTTTCCACATCAAGCCGCTGCACTATGGCAATATGGTTGAATGTTACTATCAGTGAAGGCTGTCATGTCAGTGGCGCTGTACGCTCATTGCAGTGTATATTATGCTATCGAGTTGTTTTTTTGATGCAAGCAGTCAAAATTGACGAAAACTCTCATTGCACCTTCAAGGCGACGATAGATACTTATCGCAATCTCAGTACCGTGCATTGAATGCCGTTTTCGCTAACATTCGCTGGATCACACAAAGCCTGACGCAATCTCCTCGTGCCTGAATTTCAACCCGAAACCAACACAAGGCTTCAATGTCTTGGTCCATTGCAAATGTTTATCACCACCACCACCCATGACTGATTGCGCACCGCGATAGAAAACACCCACGTCTGAACGTGTGAATATGGGTAACAGGCTGCGCAGGGCCGTGGCAATGACGCCTTGTCCCATGACGTGGAACTAGAGGTGGCCAAGAGCCAGCTGGAAGCGCTGAGCCACAGGTTTGAGGACAAAACCCAAGAAATTGCCACGCTGCGGGGTCTCCATGCCAATGTGACAGCCGATTTAATGAGGACAAAGCAACGTCTCGAGGACGTAGAAGCAGAACTTGCAGGTATTGGATTGCACTGGAATCGCATATGAAGCAAGCCTCCAGTGGATTTTCCCTGCGAGTTGCCGTTTATGGCAAACCTGCTGGCATGGTGCAACATATCAGCACAGCACTACATCTTGCCGGCCGGGCAGCTCACATATTGTGGCGTGCGGTAGCAAGGTACAGTAGGGAATGCTTGGTCAACATGATTGCGCATATCTAACTTGTGCGAAGTCTATTGTCTGCGTATACAGAAGGCGTTCACCTCTTTCCTTCACAGCTACGGCTGTGGGCTTGGGAGCCTCAGCCTCAGGAAAATTAAAAGCAGATTGTACAATATTGGACATGCAACGCTCAACTGCGAAGTGTCTGACTCACTGAAGACCATTCATGAATTTGGTGGCCTTAACACCCACTGTACAACTTGGAATCCACACATCTGTCATTCTTCTTTCCTCGTCGCAAATTATTTGCGCTGCCGTATTGCCATGAACATCAAGACGTATCAACACCAGGTGTCCGAACGTACCTTTTCAATGGAAAAAACGATGTTGATTCCTCAGAAGCGAGATTGGTGTGATATACACTGCTTCCATGTCGTTCACATGCCCGAATGCACTACATGCATAGCACGTCACTTACGTACTTCCAAGTATATCGTTGCGGATGCTGATTATATATGGGCAAGAATGTATCAAGCAGCTCAGCACTCGGCATATGTGATAATGCAGTCACCAGTAATGCGTTGTGTGTGTGCCAGTCCTGTGCGTCCAAACCCAATTCTCTAATGTCACTTAAAACCACGATGCCACCGTCTATTGCTTTAATGTGGGAGCGCTGCCATCTGTCGGAAAACATCAGGGACTAACGCCATATTATGCTACTGCATTCCCTCGTTTTCTCGAGGCATTGTGTTCAAAAATTGCTCTGGAAGTGGGACTTTCGAAATGCTGCGCACCCAGGAGCCAAGGAGATGGCATGGCACCAGCGCCACCAGATGGGCTGCCTGGCGTCCCCCGCCTCCAGCGCCTCGCTCGCTGACTTCACCATGGCGCCGGGATCGGCCACTGCCGCCGTTCCGCGTCTGAAAGAGCAGCTAAGAGTGAAAGCGGCCCAGCTGGATGCAGCTGCCGAGCAGCTCCAAATTGCGTCCGCAAGGTCGCGCGATCAGCTTGAGGTGATCTTGCCAAATGATGGCTGCAAGATGTGCCTGGCACCATGCTGTGCAATGGCTCCATGCTTGTGGATACGAACTCACGCCCAGACCTATCCGCAGCGCTTCACAGGTGTCCGCAGATCGGCAATTGCGTAGCGCCACATCGACTTTGTGACCTGCAAAATTGACAGTGGGGGAGCTATGAACACAGTGCTTGCCGCGGTGATTGATATCCGCACATGCAAGTTGTGTCCTCATTTGCCACATGCTTCTCCGGTGCACAATCGTAGACTCTTGAGTGCTGATCCTGTAAAACACATATCAGGCTTTCACGATCGATAGAACCAGCGGGCGAAATGCATGTGCATTTCGAACGTAAGGATGGCTTGCCCGATCTCGATTTGAATGACAATCGCGCTCGTTCCAATACGCAAATGGGTTCTTTGGGCGTCCAATGAGCTCGCTGAGAGGACGCCACCTTTTTTATTAATTTTTTTTAAAACGATTAAAACGAACTCTTCATATGTCTTGACAGTCCCACGTCCAGGAACTGGAATCTGAAGTAGCTCACCTCAACAACAGATGCTCCCTGGCGCTTCACTTAAGCCAGGCAGACTCGGCAAACGCCGAGGGCTTGCAAACTGACATTGACGACACGCTGCTCCCCAAAGAAGGTCAAACGAGGTGTGCGGCTAAAGTCATGGTCGCCAAATGTCACATTCACGTGCTGCGTTCACAGGTCACATTCAATGTTCGGTTGTTACGTTCAATGTTCTGTCCTATGAAACAACCGGTTTTCAGCCATAAGATGGCGTAGCAATGCAGATTGTAGTGAGAATGAGTTGGAACATGAAATGGATGTTGTCAACATGCCCATTGCTCTCGCAGGTACTTCGTCACTGCTAAGAAGCTTCCCTCCCCAAGGGCGTAAAGTGCAGCAACAGACCGTGCCTCTTGACGCGCATCGGACGACTCAGCGTTGTACATGTCGAGAATTGGCAGGAGTCGTTAATTTTTCAGCTGCCGGATGAAATTAATTGCGTTGGAAGCTCTTGGGTTTCGGTAAGGGTCGTTCCTTATAACGCGTCGGGTAGTTTGGTTTTGCCCAATTCGACGGTGCCCACTGCGAATATTGACCACGAGCTAAGGAGCGACGACAGCGACCGCGTCAAGGACAGGTCGCAAATACGGTTTATGATATCTATTTGAAGGCCGATTTAATGCCGAGGTAGCAGTCGATGAGGGAATATTTAGGGACAATGTATTACATCGTAGCGCTACTTGGAAAATGCGCAGGCAAACAATCGCTTGGCTCTTTGGAATGCCCGCAATGAAAGTGATGTGGGGCACGGCGTTGGAACCAGTGGCAGCCTACCAGCTTGGAATCCTGGTGGGCTTTCGGGGTTGATTTGTCATCTCCACAATACCCTTAGTTCCCTTCTACTAATCATTCTTTCATGTTGGCCGTTCTGTGGTCCTCGTGAGCGACAATTCGGAGGTATTTTGTCTTTGCGCAGCTCACGACATGTCCACGTCGAGACTTGGAAAATCGTAACTTCCACCCACCTTCCTGGCGAGCTGCCCACTCTGATGCAATCCCTTCTTGATGCACCCACCCCATACCCTCACGCCGGCGCCTGAAGATGGGGGCAGTAATATCGGAGAACAGCTTCTTTGACGTCACGGTTGTTGTTCATCGACTAATATCTTTTATTAAAAGATTTAATTATTAAATATGTATTATAATAATAAAAGATTACGCGTCTTCATGATCGTTGGGTTTTGGGCCTGGCGAATGTGTGGGACTTGAAGGTTCTGCCCTTAGGTGTATGCAAATGGCTCTGATACACTCACGCGCCAAGTTGCGATGAATTAACTGTGTTTTGTAGCTGTATTTTGTGTTCAATGCAAAGTAAAGCGTAGGACACAATTTGCTCTACGCCTAGTTTCAAGCAGATCACACCAAGTTTCGCCGCTTTAATGGCCACATCGTTGAAACACGTATCCCGTCGTATCCCGTTTGGTGATGGACTAGCACCACATCCATGCAAGAAATTGTGAACAGTTCAGCAATCGGTACTGACAACAGCATCATCAGCAGCAGAGGATGGAGACACGGCTGAAATTCGGAATGTGCAAAAATGTGCAATGTGCGATTAAATTCGCCGATCGTGGTCACTTGAAATTTACACAGCGGGGGCCTGGCAACTGAATTGACCGAAATGCCCATGTGCTTCAAGAACAATATGTCCCATTGGCAGAAATGCAGAGCAGCCACAACGCAGAAGTCGTTTTAAACAGATCGTATGCATGCATTTTTCAAGGCAAGCGTGAGCGCGCTCATGCCACCTTAGTAAGAAGCAGGCTTGGTTTTTACGCCATAAAACTGATCGTATTTACGTTTTTACGCGTAAAAATAGTTTTTACGTTTTTACGCATAAAAATGCGTAAAAATACGTAAATACAACGTAAAAACTGTCCGGTGTACATAAGGACAGTACATACAGACTTACGGAGTCCGGAGAGTGGCAGCTAGGCGCCCTGGAAGGGGCAGAAAACGAGTTTTTGTTGTGCGCCATCATCGCCCTTGCCAAAGCCGAGGTGGACATTGTGTTGCGGGTGCTGGAGTTGGTGGAGGACTGATCATTGAACGCAACTTTCATTGTATAATTTGGGTGTCCCAGAGAGCCGTAAAAACGTAAAAATAGCCGTAAAAATAGGCCCTTTTGCAAATTTACGTTTTTATGTGTAAAAACGTAAAAATAAAAACGTAAACGTAAACGTAAAAACCAAGCCTGGTAAGAAGAGACCAAAAGCCCCGTTATGTCCTTAGGGAAGACACTGTTTTGATTTTTGCACGTTTAGCATCAAATTGACGTTAACGGTGGGGAGGGGGAGCAGCCACTGATGCTAAGAGGTTATGTAATTGCACTAAAATCACAGTAAGATGGGGTGCACAAAAACTCCGCTGCTCAGCAGCAAATACTTCATTACTTGTTGCACAACCTCCTTCAAATTTTCAATCATCGAGGAAGTCCTTAGAATGGATAGATTTTCAGGCTTTTGGGCTGCTTCCATCGCCTATCATGACTTTTAGAATCCCATTTTCAAATCACCACAATCGCTGCAATTGGGCTGTCTCTTTCCCTTAAAAACTGTTTTGAAGTTGTGTGGCGTCGTTAGGCGATGTTGGTGAGTCATCCTGGTATCAAAATGATGCTAAAGAGATGGGGCTTAACGCCAATTTGACGCTAAGGGTACAAAAACAAACATGGTGCCTTCCCTAAGACGTTCAGCCACCATCACATTGCTGGCACAAACAGGTGGACACAGATTTGCTTCCCTGCACAAGATTGCACAAGATTGAACATCCGCAGAAATCCCACTGCAGGCCTACCTGCTAAGCTCTCCAAGAAAAGCAATTTGCATGCAGGAAATTCAACACGGGAAAGGAATCCTCCATTGCTGCTCAAAATCTAATGCTGCTATTGTTGACAAGGGCAGCTTGGCATTACTAGAGGAGTCACATCCATACTAACATATACTCTTAAACACCATTGAACAAATCTCTCATGGGTGCAGGCACTACTTCCTCCCGTCTTGTTTCCCTTTCCGCCCAAGTTTCCCTGAAGCAATCATGGAATTTTCACACGACATGTGTGCACCAGTACATTCCCGTTGTGGTCCCTTTGCATGGTGCAAATTGAGCAACCCATCAAAGGCTGATACAAGCGCTTCTCCATCGGTGATTTTCTCTGAGATGGCTTGTGACGCCCCCAATATGCTTCCCAAATTATCTCGCCATAAAGTAGAAGACCACCCTGAATGTGCTTCGAGCCACCTCCAGTCCATGGTCAATGTACTGACCCTCTCAGCCTCCCACCTAAATACGGACAAACATGGAACAATTAAGGTCACTGACATCATGGCTACAATTCACCAAGACTAGGAATGAGTGGGCTACAAAGGCAATAAACACGAGTTCTGAATGGGGCACACTGCAGAAATACCACAGTCACAGGAATATTGAGCAGTTCAATAGGAAGAAACACAACTTACAGCCATCACCATAGTGACTGGCATGCTTCACAGTGATGACGGCTGTGCTATAACTGGAGTCTACAACGTTTGCCTTCGCTACGCCATTCTGTATACATCAATCACTAATAACAATTGAACAATTCAACACAATGAATACCAGTAGCTTGCATGAGATTTCACCTGATACAACATGAAACAGTCAAAGGTGCACATCAGTGATATCTGGGTTTGAGGTTCGACCTTCCTCAAACCTTATATTCCTCCAGGGCTGGCGGGTTCTGCAAAGCTGAACCTTGGCATGTACCCCACATTTCTGATGTATAGGCTGGTGGCCAAAACAATCCTGTCAATGGCAATCACTGGCAGCACTTCTTAGCTTCACCGCCAGTACCCAAGAGGTGAAATAGCCCTGACTTACAGCAGGTCTGATCCATCCCACCATCAAGGCATTGTACGAGCGACGGGAACCTGCTGGGCACCGGGCCCCCCTGCCGTCTCCACGCACTCTACCAAAATCGCCAGGGGTTGGATTCGCCCCCTCCGGCCTGCCTCCCAGTCTCCACCAGTCTTCGGCCCTGGCGTGCAGGGCACCCTGGGTACCACCAACCCAATGACTCCCATAAAAAATGGCGGCAATTTTCAGGAAAAGCCCTCGATTGTCCCCATGACCCCGCGGCGCCCTTCCGCGCCCTCACCTCATCACGTCCAGCAGCGCAAGGAACGCCCCCTGCTGCTCCACCTCCACCGGCACGGCCGCCCGGCCAGCTGGCGCGCCCTTCAGCCGCCGGCACAGCGCCACGCTCCCCAGCCTCGTGCCCAGTAGCGCCCCCCTGGCCTCCCCCATCCTCGACGCCAGCGCCCGCAGCCGATCGGCGTTCGCCAGCCCGTGCACCTCCCGCTCCAGCCGCAGCCGCGCCACCTCGTCGTCCAGCACCCCGCAGAGGTCGCCCTGATCCACCAGAATCTCCGCGCAGTCGGCCATCGGCGTGGGGTCTGTGGCGACGGGATCAGGGACGGCCAGGCCCAGGCGGGAGGCGGCGAGGCAGACGGTGGAGAAGGGGTCCTCGCCGGGGGTCGTACCCGGCGGTGGGAAGGCGTCCGGGGGTGCCTCCGTGGTCTGCGTGAAGAAAGTTGACGGGTGAGATTTGTTGGGCTTGGCAAGAAAATGGGCCATGCAAAGAGCAGTATTTCGCAGGCAAGTGTGTGCGACACCATTTTCCATGCTCCAAAGAGTTGACGTTGAGTGTCCAGTGCCGGAGGAACACGCCACGCAAACAACGAGGAAAGTAGGTAAGGGAGGCAGCCAGATTCGTAGCGTCACGTCGCGCGGAATCCTTTTAGAAACATTTGCTTCGAAGCGGAGCCCTGGCGCCTTGTAGGCGACAGAGGGCACGCGGGCATCCAAAACGCTCGTTCGCCACCATTTCCATGCATGTCGCATCTGGTACTTTGGCACGGCGGGCGCCAGCCAAAACGCCCGCGTCCTCGGGCTGTGAAAGGACGGGGACAGTGATGCTGGGCGGCGCGGTGGCGCCAAGCGCGCCCCGTCGCTTTCCGCCCGATGGAGAACATCTTTCGGACGGAAGGGAACATTTCGTGCAGATGGCAACCCAGCCGGGCAAGAACTCTTGCGCGACTTTTTCTGCAATGGGCGCCATTGATGGGCGGCTCACGGGCGTTTTTGTCCACTGCCCGGGGCTGAGAGCGCCAGGGGGCACGCAAGCAGGAAAGAGACGACGCAGGCGACTGTTCTGGCAGCGTTGGGCCCCCAGGCCCAATGCCAGCTTTGCCCGCGTCGTTCCCTGGAATCCGGAGGACCGTTGGGGGTGGGTCAGGATCTGGGACAATGCACAAGCACCACCAGCGCTTCCAAAATGGGCCTGGGACCAATGTCCCAACCACATGATTGTGGGCTGCGACGGCTTCATCGCGCTTAGCGTCCGTTAGGGGAAACGTTATTTACTCTCTGCCTTACAACGTCAGCATGGAGGCCCTGGACGGAACCCCGGACCAAAGACCAAACCTCAGAGCGCTGACGCCAACTCTGTGGGCGGTGTATGTGAGTCAGTTGGAAACAGGCTTTGTCATTTACGCCGTAAACACAATTCGTATTTATGCTTTTACGGGTAAAAATGTTTTTTACGTTTTTATGGACCAAAACGAATAAAAATACATAAAAACGGCCCCGTGTACATAAGGACAGTACATACAGCCTTCGGGACTCCGGGGAATGGCATCCAGACGCACTGGAATGGGCAGAAAACGAATTTTGTTGCACTCCATCGTCGCCCTTGCCGAGTGGGAAATGGACGCTGTGTTGCGGGCGCTCAAGGTGGCGGAGTACTGATCACTGTACGCAACTTCCATCGTGTAACCTGGGTGTCACAACGAGCCGTAAAAGCAGCCGTAAATAGCCTCTTTTGCAAATTTACGTTTTAATGCACAAAAGCGCAAACGTAAGAACGTAAACATAAACTCAAATAACAAGCCTGATTGGAAACTTTCTCCACAACGAACAGAAACACGCCATACGATGACACCGTCGCCAACATGCATACCAAACAGCTAAAAGTCGAGGTCTACGGGTGGCACAAGACAACACACGGCACAAAAGCCCACGCAGCAATGAGATCTGCAGTGCCCCAGGGGGTCGACATGGTGGATACGCAAGCAGAAACTACTGATTCCGAACAATCACAGCGTGTGGAAGCCCGCCTGTCATAACATGTCTTGTGTGAGGGCTGTCCTTTGTCCTTTTATGAAAGACAAAGCACGTAAGCAAGGGAACTTCAAGTGGACAGTGATACAAAAATGTCAAAATATGAAGTTCAAGCTGATGAGCAGGGGCAGTGTTGGGTTGGAGCTAAGGGCACCTTGGATCTATAAAGAGTAGGTTTACTGGTTCACGTTCAAAGCTGCAAGGAAGCAGGAACTACAGTATACTTTTCACAATACGCTTAACATATAATCCTTAGCTAAGGAATCCACACACCACCTGATCAATTTCCAGCACTAAGGGTTTGCCACCACAAGGAAACTCATGATGAGGATGGCACAAGGATGAGAGCACTGTAGACCAGTGCAAGAAATGCATCAGACAACCAAGCCAATGGTGCTGAGTTCTAAATCAGAAAGGCACGTAGGACACTATTTGATGGTCGTCATTTCTGGCATAGAGACATTTTTGCAGCATGTTGTGACTATCTGTCGTTGCACATGGGGGTCCTTCTCCCCGTCAAAGACACAGGCAGATGAGAGAGGGAGGAAAGGGAGGGAAGTGGGAAAGGAGCGAATGGACACAGTTGATTGGGGGAGTGAGTTGTGCAGAGCTTCTTCTATTGGCCGAACTTCCCTTTCAATGTGCTTGAAAGAGAAAAAAAACGCGTTGCACATTTCACTTACAAAGGCTTGCAGGACAAATTTGTGCCACTTGCTTCATTTGACGTGGGAATGCGGGGAAAAACGACGGTATAGGGCTGCTGTGTGTCCATATGGCTATGCAAGGCCATTGAGTGCAATTCCTAAACTTTATCTTGTCAAGCGGATGGACAGCCTGAGTTAAGGCAAAGAAGATGTAACTGCACAAAACAGTGATTGTTTACGATTTGCTTACGATTGTTTGTTCACGATTTGTTGCTTCACCAATGTGCCCCATTTCAGGTGATTTTATGTTGCCAATAGCATCAGCAGCGAGGCTATAGCAAAAATGGTGGCAATCTCATGGGCTCACATTTTCAGACGCTTTGCAACAGACATATAGTAATATTATTATCAGCAAGCTTGTCAAGGCAAAAAATGCCGCCCTGCTTAGACAAGCGCTAATGATGAATGTGCTCAATCAGCGCACAGGGACAGCCACACAAATTGGTGTGGGACCATATATTGAAAATACCAGAATTTTTGGCAGAGAATTTCTTAAGGCATCATCAAAGACATGATTCTTTACCTGAGAATTACTTGAATGGGTGCTGCCAGTTCCTCTGTCCTGCTATTTATAACGTCAGGGGCACACGGGTTGCCAGTGAAGCCAAGGCTACACCATGAATGAAAACGACAGCTCACCTTCTCCTGCACGATCTTGCTTACGAGCTTGTGGAACGCCAACTTCTTTTGGGGCAAATTCTTGATCTTGCGGCTGAGCACACAAAGCCACCTTAATTTTCAGTGTCCTTAGCATATGTGCCAGATTGCACAGCTGCTTTAAACATTGGAACTCAGTCAACTTGAATTCCTAAATCTATTATGGAGTTTGGAAGGGTGCAGTGGGGGTTGGGGGTTGGGCAGTGGGGGGTAACAGTGTTCCTGAGTGCAATAACTTGGAATTCAAATAGCAGTCGGTTGCACAGGAACTGCATCGATAACTCATTTTGTTGAGATCTGGCCATTCTTGGTACCACAAGTTTTGGTACAACACAGCATTGAGGAACACTCTATAGGTGCCCAGGTTGCACTGTGGCAAGTGGAATTGTGTTATATCTCTTGCCTTAACCATCAACAAATTAACCCTGGAATTACAGAAATATGTCCAAAAGATTCCCTGCTGGGATGAAACATGAATGGCATGTTTGTGAACACTGCCAAGTCGATGGCTGCAGTATATTTACAGCAAAGATTCCTGCTCTCCTGGTCAGAATGCAGTCACATAGAATGGGAGGGCTGGCATTGGGTGTGCGATGCTTGGAGCTTCGCACAGGCACACCCTGGTGTCTATCCGGAGAGATCGGATGCTGAGGAAAACAAGACGGCTGGGTTCCCTTTTTAAGGCCAGCATGTGGCTGAGAAAACACGGTACTTCAGCAAAGGCCAATATCTTGCAGGCATGAATGACCACCTTTGCCCAAGTAGAAATGACATTACGTTTCCCATATGTCCCATGTTCTACTTGTCCGGCCGCATTTCAACGTACGGTATGAGGAAATTCCACAAGAATTGGAGTGCAAGCTCCCCAGGCGCGTCGATCAAGACTCCAGGCCCAGAACCCATCCCAAGAATACCAACTGCAGTGGCAACGCACGGCGCCACAAATCCAAAATTCCGGCCATCCCGATGACAGCGAGTCCCCGCACCCAGGAAAACAAGTCGCTCCGCCACCAGGAGGATCCACGGCGCAGCAAGAATCCAGGTTTTCCAGCTTTTCTGGCACAGGGAATCCCCCTGGTCCAATGCTCAGCTGCCGTCGCCCATATTTTCAAGCCGTTTTGGCGGAGACGCATTAGCGTCGATGCTGCTTTCGGATTGCCAGGCACATCAAATCGCCGTACCGGAGGGAGATGGCGCCGAGACGGGAGCCGTTGGTCCTCTCCGGGGCCCTGGCGACGCTGGCGATCGGCACCAGCGACTTGCGGACGCCCCTGTTGATCAGGCGGTGCAGGGGCGCCCTGCACAGCAGGGATATGCGGCGGGTGTGCTTGGTCGTTCCCATCGCCGCGGGCACCCCGCAAGCCGCCCGCGCGCGAGGGTCGAGGCTGCGGTGCTGGTGATTTGCGCGGGGTTTGAGAGCAGGAGTTTCTGTCACTGGAGTCATAATTTTGATGATGTACCGGGTGTATCGAGCGAGGATCGGGAAAGATCTCCTGGCTGAAAAGCCTGTCGCCCGTTGGTGATCGTCCGAGCTGTTGATATGTTGACGAGTGTGGACGAGTTTGAAGCAATAGAGAACAGTACACAGTGTCATGACTACGCGTCAATCTGCCTTCACAGTGGCTGTGTACGGCGGGATGATACTGGGGTGATGATACTGTGGCGGAGTTCCACCGTTCCACACTCTTTGAAATCAACGAGATCCGGTTTGTGTGCGAGAGGGAAATCAAGCTGCTCAGTTTTTCAGCACTGGAGCTGGCTGTCCGAGAACATTGAGATGAGGGACGTGGAGGGATTTGACTTGAAAAAAAGAACATCTATATTAAAATTAATGAGCAACAGGAACGCGCTCCCGTGGCGCAATGGATAGCGCACCAGACTTCTAATCTGGGGGTTGTGGGTTCGAGTCCCACCGGGAGCGAACTTCTGCAACCTCCATTCATTTCAACGCCACTCTCCCAGGTATGACACCATCCCGACACGACTGTCCCAAGCTGTGCTTTTGGGCGTTGAAACGCCCATCACCTAACTGCTTCGCCACTGCCTTCGTAAACAGACACCGCTCTCAATCAACAAATCCATCGGTCAATTCATCAGTCGCTTATTACACTATCAGGGAAAGTACAGGCTTTGCGAACTCGTGGGCAGTGCTCAGCGAAGGCTCGAAACAGCCACTCTTTCGATCAAGGGGTTGTACTTTTTTCGTACAAGCATGACAAGTCTTCTGTGTGTCTTTTCAGCCTGTACTTCCTCGTCCTCGTCCCGAAGCCACCATCCGCCGCGTGGCAGCAATGAGACTGCACAACGGCCGCACAAGGGGAGGCGGTGGCGCGTGAACCAGTCCCACAGCGGGCAAGTGCACGCCAGCCTCCGCCAGCGGCGGCGGCTGCGACTTTGTGGTGTCGTTTCTGGCCGTCTCGCGCCCTTCCGTGGAGGATTTCTTGCAGTCGACCCCTCTTCCCAGGTACGGATGGAAGGAAACAAACGCGGCCCTTGCATGGTTAGAGATGCCGAACGCCGAATCTAAAAGTCTTTGCCGTGCTCCGGAGATCGTCCGAATCCCTCCTGGGGGCCATTGCTGATGGTGTTTTGAGGGCGAAGGCATGCTAGCAGCGCAGCTTTCAGCCTCCGCTGGGCGGTCGCCTGGGACCAATGGATCCAAGTCTGCGCTGGCATTGAGTGCGCCAACCCTTGGACGGGCACGATCCCCACGGCCTTTGCTGCTGTCACGCACCTGGGCGCTCTCTGTGAGCCATGGATTCCCCGTTAGAAAGATGGGGGAGGGGGTCCGTGTTTGTTGCGCCTGACGCCCCCGTGATTTCGACCTGCGGCCAGTTGGCTGGAGTTACAACCCCGATTTGCTCCCTCGGCACCACCCGTTCAGCAGCTTTCACTCACACGCGCATGACATCTGGCAATCTCATGGCATCTGCCGACAAAGTCGCCAGCTGCCGATTGAATCCCCAAGAGAGCGTTGCGCCCAGACACCTGGATCCGCAGCCCGGATGCCAGCAGCATTTTTCAAGCTCCAGTACTGAAAACAGCCCGGCATTGCTTGGGCCGCCCTCCAGGCAAACAGAGGCCGGCCGGGAAGAGGCTCCGAGCGGGCATGGCTGTGGGCTCCCCGCTGCGAGGCTGCCTCGCCAGGCTGCTGGCGCTGCTCCTGGCGCTCTCCCTAGCGGCCGCCCAGGGCCAGCCTTTCTCCCGCAATGCGCTCTACGGCGTCACCTATGCCCCCTTCAACCTCGATCTGGACTCCATCTGCCTGCCCACCGCCAGAGTCACGGAGGACATGGCGATCATCGCCGAGGTGGCCGATCGAGTGAGGCTGTACAACGTCGCGGTGTGCCCCGAGGCCACGGACGCCGTCCTGGATTTCGCGGCCGAGAATGGGATGCGGGTGGTTCTTGGGCTGTTCATCTCCAACGACACCGCCCTGAACATGGCCGAGATGGGCGCGGTCGTGCCCCTGCTCGAGGCTTACGGCGCCATTGTCGACGCCGTGGTAGTTGGAAACGAAGCGGTGTTTGTTGGGGGGGTGAGTGTTTGTGCCGCCTGTGGCCGCTGCGGAACACTCGTTGTCGTTGTCCTTCCCTTCCAAAATACGGCATCAACGCTGTCATTGTTGAAGGATGTCCGGTGCGTAGCGTCGGGTGCCCATTCCAGCTTGTGCGAAATGTGCATTCCACAGCAGTTCATCCAATTTGCTCAGTACCTCGAATCACACATCGCTACTGGCGCAATTGCGGTGCACCTGCACCAGCATGAAAGGCAGTTTTCATAGGGTGAGCCACAGCTGTGGAGAATGCATGCTTCTGCAGCTTTGGAATTTAGCCTTTACGTTGGTGATTATGCAGGGCCCATTCCGATTTGTTGCTGCCATTGCTTTCAATAATACCAGTCTTGACAGACGCTGTCTTGAGGCAGGTTAAGGGTAGTGTTCCCTGGTGTTGAGAAGGGACACAAACGAGGACTTCCTCCTTCAGTGTGCTGGCAGATGCTCGGATAAAATAATGTCCCTTCACATCAGATGCAGCTGGGGCCAGGGGCAGTGAAAAGCTCCTAGGGCCTGTGGAAAATTGACCCAGTCAGTTTGATCCGATGGTCGCCAACCTGTTGATCGACCTGCGCTGCAGCTTGGCTGGTCGCGCGCTCTGTTTGGCCTCCTTGTTGCACCAATGGTGTCATTTTGCAGTGGGAACTACGAAGTTGGCCAACCCATCACTTGGGACTCTGTGTTCATCCATTCAATTCACAAGTTGCTCCCTTTCGTATCTTAAAGTCGTGCACATTCTGCTGGCAATGCTCGCCTGGATGCAACTTTCTTGGTGCTTGGTGTGACCAAAGCACAGTGGACTCCTTCGCAGTAGCGATGTATCTACTTCAGGCAGCAACATCTCCTTCCTTGGCCTATGAGCCCTGGCTAGAATTCTAAGGATGGACCTGCACCAATAATGGTTCATGCAAAACCCACCTGGATGGTGGCAAGAGGTCGTCAATCCCAAGACCCCAGGACAACGTTGGAGATGCTGAGGCAGAGTATCATGGTTTCTTTGCAATTGAAAATGAAGCTGACAGCAAAAATGTCCTTGCAGGTGGATCCCTTCGTATTGGTCTCCTATGTAGAAGACACCAGGAAGGCCCTGCGTGAGAGTGGGTTCCAGCACCCAGTGTCGACAGCAGAAGTGTGGCCAATCTTCGAATCCCCAATCGGGCCCACCATTGCGAATGCCAGTGACTTTATCTGCTTGCAAATGCAACCATACTGGGTAAGGCAACGCCCCTGTTTCATCTGTGGGGCTCGCACTTGTTCAGGACCATGACGCCTCGCCAGCCATTTTCCGGGTGGTTGTGGGAGACCAATGTTCTCCAGTGACTGAATGTGTTGCAGGTGGTTGTTTAGCCACATAGCAGGTGGACAGTGCTGGCCCTGTCCATGGGAGGAGGTTGTTGTTGACTGGCGTTGTGTTGCACAGTAGGATTGGATTGACACAGTCTTTTACAGCTAACTTGTTGGGTGGTTTGTAGATTTGCAACTTAGATGTGCATGCATCGTTGTGCAGGAAGGCTGGGATGTTGTGTGCCCAGAAAACACACCGTTTGAGTGCCTGGGTGCTGGCGAGTACGTCCATGCCAAGGCTGCTGGTCTGGAAAGACTGTTTGGAAAGCAGGTGTGGGCATGCGAGAGTGGCTGGCCAACCGAGGGGGAGCGTTGCTGCCAAGGCAGTCGTGACAATGCCCGCGATGGCCTCTTGGTGAGTTAAGACCCTTTTGTGCCCCATCCATGCATGCAAACAGTTGTGAGTCGTCAAGTGCAGTTCTAAGCTGCACTATTGGCTGGGCGATAGAGTGCTGTGCTGGATGTTTGTTTCTTTTGTGTTGTGTGTGTGAATGTGTTGCACTCCATTGCGATTGGAAATCAGAAAATCTCCGTTTGGGGGCGACCAAAATTTTTCTAAGTATTTCAATGCTGAGCCAAACACCCCACACGTCTCCCAGATATTGATGTAGCCCGTTTCTGTTTCTGCTATTCCATTGTGTGTCACCCATTTGGGTTTCCTCCACTCAAAAGTTAGGCCCCATGCTTCCCCCTGTCTCAGCCTTGCTGGTGGGGCTGACTGCTCAAGGTAGAATTCGTACCGACATCCAGTGTTCGGGGTCAGTAAAATTGGAAGTCTGTGAACAAGCTCACTGTGCATGCTTGGTCCAAGTTGTTTGCATTTCATTTTCTATATTGTAATATTGTTACTCGACGCTCGATATGCATGGGGCACACATGGGGCACAGTTAGCTGATAGCCACCACACTGGTTTGTGAAACCTGGGAACTTGACAATGAAAATTAGCCATGAAGCGCGGTAGCATGGCCTTCAGTTGAACCACTCGACGGACTGTAGCAACCATTGGTACCCTTGCCATGGGACGATAGTGGTTGTGACCGCAGTGTGATGGAAAGTTTATCACGAGTATGGGCTGCGCGCCGAGCTAATGCACATGTTTGGATTCAATTTACAAGGATGTGGGCTGTGCCCTCACGGCTTGTTCAATGCAAAACAGGCAGGCCCGAGCGTGGAGAACGCCACTATCTTCATGAGCGATTTCGTGAGGGCCGCGCGCCAAGAAGGGAGGCCCTTTTTCTACCACACAGTATTTGATGGCGAATGGAAAAGGATCTGGGCACCTTGCATGGAGTGCAAGGGTTTGGATACGCAGCTGACGAATCCCATGTGCAATACTTGCGAGGTGGACTATCACTGGGGATTCTACGACTTTACCCGTAATCCCAAGCCAGGGTTCACCCTCGTGCCAGCTCCGTAGCCTGTTGCATGGTGCGCGCGGAGCACGGTGAGTACTGCGCCTGTGAGCGACAGCAGACTGTGGTGCACACAACTCCAGTTTCGTGATCATATGACATTTGTTGTACTGGAAGCTGATTGTTGCCAGATTGGTTGATCAGATGCCATAGGACAGTGTCGCTGGACGTTGCTTCTTCTTGGCTGCACTGGATCGGACAGGGAGATATTTACACAGTGGCATCTTTCTTCCAAGCTTCTGCATAGTTTTTGTTTTCCTTTACTATCGGACGAATTCGGGGGAAGTTTGCGGGGAACGCGATGGAGCTTTCTGAATTGAACTCTTCTTTCTGGTGTAATGAATAAGTGATTGAGTGAATGAGTTTGCATGCTTCCACTGTGAGAAATTTGGTTCCAATGCTCATTCCGATATTTTCATGTGACGAGGTTGGCAAGGACTTCCAATGTGTTGTCCATTTCTCTATCATTCCCAAGAACAGAAAGGATAGCGCTATATTGTTCGACACCGCCAGAGAACAACAACATCTTCCGATATTGAAGAAGGCTATGGGGCGCACGGGGCATCCAAAATCCCTCGGCTAAGGCTGCTGGCAACGTTATTGCGGTTGGTGCCACATAATATGGGTCATCCGCACGTTTCAACCCGTTTCTTGGCCACGCACGATTAGGGCTGTTTGTGTCACAGCATTACTGTGATGCTTGAACGTCTGCTCCCATTGCCGTCACGCCGCAGGCCTTGTGGTGCCATCCGAGCTTTGACCCAGCCCTGCGTCGAAGAAGACACGACCCTTTCTTCCAATTCAAGAAGCGATCACAAGCCCATCCTGTCCAGTTAGCCGCATAATGAACACCTTTTAACTGGGAAGATCACTCATGTTTGATGGTTAGCGAATCATGACGCAATGTGATTTGCTGTGTGAGATGGCACCAGAAAGACACTGCTACTGGAAAATGTTGCTATAAAACATGCAAGGTTACTTAATTCGGGGTGTTGCTATTCCTGGTGCAGCATTGAGCTGGCAGGTTCCCAGCCAATGCGTGCTCCTTTGCTTGAAGATTGGCAGTTTGTGACAGAAAAGAAGAAAGACATGGTTCATGAAAATTTCTTAGAGCCGTTTCTTTCACTGAACTAGTGGTCCATGCACTGTGCTGAATTTACCTGTGAAAGGACAACTATGGCGTATCTGTGCTTGGCTGTGCGCTGAGTGGGCATGTGATTGAGCTGCTTAATGGGCGATTGTGAGGAGGTGGATCCTGGGGTTACAAATGGGATTAACTATCTTGTTAAGGGGTTTCCGCCCAGGGCGACGAGGGGCGGGCGCGCTGGCCCACTTGGGCCAGCGCTGCTTAAAGTATGATGGTTTTGGCGGCCCCTTGGGGTTTCTGTCCCCCTGTACCTTGGGTCAGTGGCTGGTTTGTCGCGTTCAAGGAGGGCCAGTGGTTTTTGGCGCCCTTGGGAGCGGCGGGCTTTGGCGGGCGCGAGCGGGGAGGCTACTTAGGCTCACCCCTCGGTCCCCACCTTATCTTGTTTCGCTTCCCGCCCGGCCCCTCCTATTAGGGTGATGTTCGGTTGATTTGGGTAAGTGTGGGAGTTAAGGACGTGGAAATGAGGTGGTGGGTCTGACTCAAGGGTTGAGTCTTGTATGGGACTGGCTTAACTACTAGCGAAGCGATTGGGCACACAAAGTTGTGGGTACCTCGGGTTGTATTGGGACAAACAATGTCGTGTAATGTATTGGTCCAGTATGTGTGTGGACCTGGGTGGGACAAGGAGCCCGGCCCGGCGGAAATAGGCAAGCCCGGGGTTGTGAGTCAAGAAAAAATCTGCAAGATCAAGTATGGGCTGTGGTTGGCGCCGCCGTCGGCAAGGGAAGTTGTCTTCGAAGTTGGAATCGGACACGTAAATATGTAAGCCCGAGTTCTGCATGGGAGTGGCCTTGCGTGTGGCCGTGTGCCAACGCCATTGGAGCATCAGCGATCGGGGATTCAAGCTTCGAGTGTGCACTCACTCAAAAGGGAGCGGTTTGGAGTCGCATCAAACGCCTTCACTTCAAGAACTCTCTCTCCTTGCCTGCAGAGCGAGTGACGAGCAAAATGGCTTGCTGAAGCTTGGTACGGCAAGCGGAAAGGGGATTAACTGAGTAAGTGAGTTTCTGCTTAGGGAGACGTGGGTGGGAGACGAGAACATGTCAGCAGCCTAGGCGGGACACCACGCTGGGGTGGTCGCCCCTGGCCGTCGCCCGGACGACAAAATTAGGGCGGCAAGTGATGGCTGGCCCAATAGCTGTATTTGGGCATGCTTTTAAAGGGAGCCTCAGCGCGTCAGTCACGTGATGGCTGGGCAAGTTTTTGGCGGGAGGCAGGTGCCGTCTATTTTAGGATGGCGCCCTCTGACCGCCTTCATTCTCTTTTTGCTCTCCCTCCCACTCATCCCTGGGAGTGTGATTTCGGTTTGAAAGAGGAATTTGTCAATTGCAAAGTATTGGGAAAATATTGTGGTTTGATTCGCACAGCAAGGGCAAATGTAATGCTATGAGTGTCCCAGCGGCAAATTTCGGGCTACTACATTAGCACAGTACGTCACAAGCGGGGGACTCAACCGTGTCCCGCCCATCCTGGCACGATCCGTCGCCAGGATTCCTGCCCCCTGTGCTGAGTCACATGTTGCAGGAATCCCTGCTTCCTGTCGCCTGTGCTTAGTCACAGGTGGCCGCCCTTCGTGCCCTGGCGCAGGAGGCGGGACATGTGTCTCTGGGCGTCCGGGGAGGTGGCAGTCACCCGCAGCCACCCCCACAAGCGCCGTGTACAGAGGCCCCACTACCTGTGGGCACCCGGATTACGTGAGACGCAGGGGCGCCAAACTTGGCGATGAGTTCCTGGCGTACTACGGCCCACGGCAGGCGAGCCAGGCAAGCACGCGAAAGAAGGCATAAACTCGCACGCGCGGGTCAGCAACGCGGGGCGAAGGCACGGACCCAAAGCTTGCAGTACAACCAATGCCTCAGGCCGTCAAACATGGATGCCATGGATGAAGGGACGGCCATGGACATTAAATGGCGGGGAGATCGGGTTGGGCGACAAGGTCCGCAACGACGATCTCGAGAGGAAAATGGAAATTAGACCTTCGCACAAGGTTTTTGGCGAGTTTGCTTGCCACGCGGGCAAGACCCGGGCGCTGCGATCTGCGCATGCCGACGAAATTGTGGAAATTGTGCTCCGGCAATTCTGCACAACCCCACCGAGGCAGCGATCCGTACGGGGAGGCTGCACTTGACAACGCGCCGCTGCGCCCCACCCTCCAAGACCTGACCTCCATCGGGCTCCCTCCGGCCGGCCATGGGCTGAATTTCCGAAATGCTCCACTGCCAGCGCCCCCTCCATCGATGGCATCGTTCATGAGCAGCTGAACTCAATGTGTTGCGCGGATTGCCCAGCACGGCCACACCAACGTGGCAAGCAGCGGCTGCCTCCAAGGACGCTGGGCACAGAGCAGCGCTGCGCTTCCTGGGCGTGTGAACAGACTGTGCACAGGGCACTGGCAGTGCCGCCTCTAAGTAGGGAATCGGACACTGTGATAGCTGACGTGGTTGCATGATGGGTCTGTATTTGTCAGGGACCAGCCTCACATTTCCCGCCAAAACAGCTCGGTTACCCACTCGTGCTCGTAGGGAACCTCACTCATTCCCTGCGAGTAAGAGTGGGTACAGTGGTAGGTCGAAGGTCATTGGGCTGTGTTTGGGCGACGGGCACCTGCTGGGAACCTGTGTACCGTACCTGGGCAGTGTGAACTCGTGGGGGAAGTGTATCTCGTCAGGCAGCAATGGAGAGCACTGGTTGTCCGATCGGGGTAGGGGCGGGCCTCGTTCTGCATGCACCGAGAGCGGATTTCAGGGACCCCCCGCCAAAACCCAGCGAACGCGACCTCCCCACAAACCAGAGCGCTCGCGCGAAAATGGCGGACGCGCTGCCCCTCCGACCAGGGGCGTCCGCGGGCCCGGCGCCCGGCCGCGCCCGACGGGGCCGACCCCTCTCATCCCGCCCGCCGCGCCGCGGCCCCCGCGTCGCGGCCGCTGCGGCGAGCGACGTGCAGCGGGCCCGCAGGGCCCCCGGGCAGCACCTGAAACAGATCTCCACGGTGTACAAGTTCGGCGGCTCCTCCGTGGCGACCGCGGATCACAGTGCGTGCCCCACCCCGCCGCCGGCACTCGACAGCCGGCAGTCAGGCAATTTTTCTTGCGCCTTGATTTTGCGCGCCTTTTGGCATGCGCGAGTCCTGAGAGTTGGCTGTACTGATGGGCGTATGTCCTGACGGGCTGGCCCAGTGGTGGAGGTGGCGGACATCGTGTGCAGCTTTCCGGACGAGTTGCCCTGCGTGGTGCTGTCGGCGATGGGCAAGACCACGAACCAGCTGCTGGCGGCGGCCGACATGGCCCTCTCCGTGGAGCCTGAGGCCGTGGAGTCCATCCCCCCCGTGCGGGATATCGAGGCGCTGCACGCCGCGGCGGTCGCCGACCTGGGCGTCGACCAGGCCACCAGGGACCAGGTGGGCCGGCTGCTGGCCGAGCTGAAGATGCTGCTGCGCGGCATCTCGATCGTGCAGGAGTGCACGCCACGCGCGCGCGACAGCGTCATATCCTTCGGCGAGCGCCTGTCCACGCGGATCTTCGCCGCGCTGCTGGCCCGGGAGGGCGTGCCCGCCCGGCAGTACGACGCCTGGGACCTGGGCTTCGTCTCCACGGACGAGTTCACCAACGCGGACGTCATCTTCGACGCCACCCTCCCCGCCATCAGGCGCACGCTCAGCGAGCGGGATGCTCCAGGGGAGGTGCCCGTGGTGACGGGATTCCTGGCGCACGGCGCGAACACGGGGGCGATCACGACCCTCGGCCGCGGGGGGAGCGACCTGACGGCCACGACGATCGGCGCGGCGCTGGGCGTCGACGAGGTCCAGGTGTGGAAGGACGTGGATGGGGTGCTGACGACGGACCCCAGGGTGGTGCCCGGCGCCTACACCGTGCCGCTGCTCACCTTCGACGAGGCCACGGAGCTGGCCTACTACGGCGCGCAGGTGCTGCACCCGCAGGCGATGCGGCCGGCCAGGCTGGCCGACGGGGAGCTGGGGGTGCGGGTGAAGAACTCTTACAACCGGTACGCCACGGGGACGCTGATCAAGCCCTGGCGGGACATGTCCCTGGCGCTGCTGACCAGCATCGTGCTGAAGCGCGACGTGACGCTGGTGGACATCGCGAGCACGCGGATGGTGGGCCAGCACGGTTTCCTTGCGCGGGTGTTCGAGATGTTCGGGCGGGCGGGGATCTCGGTGGACGTGGTGGCCACCAGCGAGGTGTCCGTGTCCACCACGCTGGACGTCAACCGCCTGTGGACGCACAAGGTGGTGGACTCCGAGCTGCAGCAGTTCGCAGCGGGGTTCGAGGGCTGGGCGGACGTCACCTTCAGGCGGGGCTCCGCGATCGTGAGCCTGATCTGCAACGTGGAGCGGTCCAGCGAGATCCTGGAGCGGGTGTTCAGGACGCTGGGGGCGGAGGGGATAAACGTACAGATGATCAGCCAGGGCGCCTCCAAGACCAACATATCATTCCTGATCAACGACAGCGAGGCGGAGAGGGCCGCCCGGGCGCTGCACCAGGCGTTCTTTGGGCAGTAGGCGCCATGGCTGCGGGCGGGGCGGCGGGGAGGGGAAGGGGCGAGAGGGAGAGATGGGAGGCTCAGGGCACGCATGTGCGCGTGGACGGCAGGTTTGGGAGCTTGGAGGTTTGGGGAGCCATGCTGGAGGCCGTCGTGCTGGCTGGGTGGGTGAGCGATAGCTAGCAGAAAGAGGGCAATGGGGTGATGAATCTCTACCAGGTGCTGTGCGCACAAACACTGTAGATAGCTAATTCTTTCGTGCATGAGTGCAAGGCGAATACCACAGCTGTGCTGCCCTTGTGTTGCTGATGACACCCCAGAAAATGGTGACATGCCGTTGCAACTGGCGGAATAGCCACAACAAAGCGCTTGCTTTTCTTGCCAGTGAGATGGCGTCCAAGGAAATCAGAATCTGTAGCCAACTTACTGCCACTTGCACAGCATGCAGGTACAGGGCCTGAGATACAGTGCAAGGTATTCAGTTGTTATAGTGGGCCCAGCCGCCAACGGTGCCTTTATGCATGGGGTTGCCTTGATCCCAAAGAGAACTCGTTGTGGAACATCTTTGGAGGAGTTGGCAGACAGGCTGCATCCTGGAGAGTGTGCCACGTGATGCAAGAGGTTGCCAGGGACAAAACTGCTGGCGGACTCTCTGCAGATGCCTTGCACATGTGTGAGTTGCAAAAGTTCTGGTTATAAACTGTCTCATGGCTCTGTGGTTCAGCTCCATAGGAATAGGCATAGGAATGCAGTCAATCTGCAAGCGCTGTATTCGGAATGCATCGAAATGGGGATTTTGGGCCACAATGGACGCAGTCCTGTGCGCGCTGCTCGATACTGCACCACCAATACGAGAATTGGTGTGCTGAATGGTTGCCGAATTTGTAGCTCATCTTTTCTTGGTAAATTCTTCATTTGGCCTGGGACCATGCTGTCAACACCACTGTGCTTCGGTGCTGTGTGCAGTGCTTGTGCCCGAATCTATAACTGCCTGTGCATATGCTTCTTTTCTGGAAGTAACAGTTTGTGGATGGCGGAAGCGTTCACAGTGTGCAAGCATTCACATTCTTGGTGTTTCTAGGCCGTCCATGACTGCATAACTCAACAAGCCACCAGCTTGTCCTGTCAGTTGTACTTGTCTCGCAGAGCAGTTTTCTTGGGCGCATGTGTGCCAAGCCAACAATTTACCCGTCGGAAATGAGAGCTGGGATCGCCTGAACACAGAGGTGCTGTCAGCAGCCCACAGAAGATTGGTTGTCTGGCTGCAGGAAGTGTTTTGCTGTTGTCAAGACTTCCTATGCACAGAACTGTTGCAACAAGTTGACAGTAGTACCAGCCCCATTTTTGGGCCTCAGCGCCATTATCCAAGGAGCCTGAAATTGCGACGCAAGTGATGAAGTGCAGCAACGAAGCCGAAATCCAAATGATTTTCGAGCTCAACAGCGCATCGTGCAAGGACCCAAGGGATGAATCAGTTGCCCGCTCTGGTTCTCACCTTTCAGACAAGGGGTTGAACCCTGAGATAACAGCTGAGCACCCTTTTCACCAATCCGCTGTTGGCGCATCTCCTTGTTGGGACTGAAGATAGCCTAAGCATTGTTGGCCTGAGAGGTTCTGTCCGAAGCCCCAGCTGATGGATCGATGCACGCGCACTCCTGATTCCTTTTGATGAACACATGAACGACTGCAGTGCAGGAGCAAGTGAACTCTCGACTCCAGCTCGGGCTCCTTTTGGCTAAAGAGCCCGTAACTCTGTGTCATCCAAACCAGGCACACGCCTCCCTTCCCACCCCACCCCACCCCACCCCAACCCACACGCCAGAGAACCGCACAGCAGCTGCCCGCCTCCTTTTACAGTACAGGGCGCAAACGGGGTCAGCAGCCGATGGAGCCACCGACAGACTGTCATGGCGTCGCCACAGGCCAATTATTCAAGCGCCGTCACAATTCTCTCCGCTGGCGCTCGCAGATGGTCAGGAACTTGCAAATGGCGTGCCCATATGCCGCAAATGCCAAAAAACCTATGTGCCTGGCCTTGGCAGTCAATTTGTTCAAATGCGCCGCTGCTCTCTCCCATCGAGGCGCTGATTGTGGAGCTCGATTATTCACGAGTCCTGCAAAAACCACCGCTCCAAGACCTCCACTATCAGGAGCACTCAGCCGACGGGAACTCCCCGCCGGCACATCCACAGACCAGAGCGTCCTGTCATGCAAATAGCAAGGAGGCCTGTGCAATCTCGCTCCCCACTCACTCACACACCACGCTCACTAACATAACGAATAGGGTTGTATTTACTTCCTCGAGTCAGATCTACAGCCGCTGTACTCGGCAAATGCACTTGGCCCGACGCCGCATACCGCATACATGGGCTCAATCCCTCAAGTGCCGGCCCACGTCGACGTCTGTGTGCCTCCCGCGTGCCACTGCAGCTCACTTCCCCGGTTGACGACCAACCTTTGTTACCCACAAAACCACGGTGCATTGCTGGTTGGCGCAAGACCCGCACACAAACGCCTGACACCCAGGTTGTCTAACTTCCCCCAAAATTCAAAGTACACAAGCTTCAATAATGAATTTCCCAATGCGCCAGGAGCCAGGCGCCGCGCGGAGACTCGTGCCGATGCGAGCCCGCAATCCCATTGGCTCACGACCAGTACTTCCACCTGCAGAAAATACGGGAAAATCCGGGCGTTCGTTAGTAACAGATGAGCATTGGACGTTCTAAAGCCAAGCGCTCGGTGATCGATTGGGGTGTTCCAGCTGCGCAAACTGTGGTTGCTCGCCAATGTCCGGACCCATCATAATGTCAATGTTTCACGACAGTGTCCTGAAACATTGTTATCATTAGGGTCATCATGACATGGTGACATCATGGAACATGACTCGGGTTTCGTCAGCACGCTGTCCTGCATTATAAGAAGCACTTTTGCGTGTTCCAATTCGTCGTGCATCACAAACGCACGATTTTCAGCCCACGCCCACTGTCAAAACACGGGCGGAAATTGCGTGGAGCGGATCACACTGCCAGCGGCGCGGCGCCGGCGGCACTCACGAGGCAATTTGCTCCTCGATGCTGGGGTCGGGAGCCACGTGATTGGAACTGCCCCAGTCCCCCATGAGCATGGGCCATCCGCTCGCCGACTGGAGATCTCCATTGTCGTCAAACTCGACCTCCAGGCGGCCCAGGTACCTGAAGCGCCGCCAGCGCCGCAGATCAGATCGTGCAGTGGCGGAAGTCAAAGACCAATCGCCTTCAAAGGAATTCTTGACGAGCGAGTCTTGCACCCCGATGGGGAAAGCATGGAGCCGAAAAAGCATGAATTTGAAGATAATTTCTGCAGTTAAGTCAAATTGCAACCAATTCTGATGATGTCTGATGAATGTTGAAGGATGCAGGCTACTGACAACATGGGGCCCAGGCCGACCACCCACCTGGAAGCCCAGCCAGCCTGCACCACAGGAATGTTGCGCTGGTTGGTGTCTGACCACATCCACGTTGGGTAGTCGCCCCACTGTTCGTCTTTGTGGGTATAGCCATCTGCAGTACAAGCCCCCTCGGTATCGCAGCAATGAAAGCTGGCTCGACGAGACAGGAATCAAACCTTATCTAGACAAAATTTGCACGTGCCTGTTGAATTTCTACAATCAAGAACAGGTATCTCCATGCAAGATCAATGCAAAACGGATGCAAGACGTGCCATGGCAGCCATCTTGGTTCATGTCTTAATCACGCGGTTTGCTTCAGACGGATCCACTTGTCGTTGGCGCGTGCCTGCAGATATGCGGGTATCAAGCTACCTTTGAGCCAAGCAGGGAGCGGCCTGCTGGAAACGATCGCAATCACTCGTGCAAAGGTGGACCTAACAACAAACGCACGCTAACTGCAAAGCGACAATTTAGGCTGACTTTGACAGAGACCCAATCAAACGCTGTTCAATGGCATGCAACTTGCAATCAATTCGCCGCAAGTATTTCATCTGAGACGAAAATCGTTGCTTGCAACTCACAAGTTGCGAGCCATTGTGCATCGAACAAATTATAAATTCACCGAGCACAAGCCCCTCGAGGCTTTTTGGTGGCCTCCTTCCCACCCTATCCTCCGTCATGTTGCCTGCTGCAGGGCGCTGAATGCGACGCCTCGGATTCTGCACCCATTACAGCAACTCACCGTCCCATGACATGGGTGGACATTCTCCACTGCAGAGCATTGCATGGCTGTGGCCGCCCACGACGATGTCCACGCCGTACGTATCCCTTGCGATGTAACGGTCGGCGTTGTAGCTGAAGAACAAATTAATCAGAGCAGTCAATGAGAGCATAAGCAAGAGCGCACCACCCCGGCCAAGATGAGTGTTCTGTTCGTGACAATCCTGGACATGAGTAAATCACGTTAGGTATCTTAGACATCAAGATATCGTATCTGGGATGTGCTCCGGGGTGTAGGGACCTCTCAAATCTGGGTGCCGGCCATTGTTCCTGATGTAACCCGCTATGAGCCATCCAGAGACGCAGCTGTGGTGACCGCAACCAATTGGCAACTTGGTCTGCTCCAAATACATATTGCATATGTGAGAATCTGCAGGACCAACGCTCCCGCACTTTCACCATGATTAGGAAAACAGGTTGCAACCTCATCACCGTGTCCAGCGGAATGCTGCGCGAGAACGCAAAGGAAAACATAAACTAGAAAACCCGAAGATGTCTATTTTGAGCTGGCCATGTGTTCTGAAATCGCCATGGGCAACTCCTTGCTCAACTACATAGTCACCCTGGCGATCTCAACTGTGGCATGGGAGGCCTGTAAAATAGACAGGCCCAAAATAGACACGTTTGTCAGTTCAGCGGTGCATCAGCGCACGCAAAGTGACACACTGCTCTTTGCTGGTGGCTCAGTTTTTGACGCACCCTTCGTGGCTCAAAAGGATGATGATTTTGACGCCTTCATCGTTCCTGAGCTTGTCCACGCATTCTCGGCCCTTTGAGAAGTGGTCCTCCATGTAGGCCGGGCCTGGGTGCGAATTCGTGTTGGTGGACTCCGTCCCCACTGCGCATATGCCAACCTGCACACGCTCACAGGCGCAGAAATCATCACAAGTGGTCTGGCCTACAGCGCATAAAGCCCAGGATGCAGAATCTCGCTGACAGCATTAATGGAATATTCCCACCCTTCCAGTGTCACCAAGCACCCACCCAAGCCCATGAATCCCTCCCATTCAGTGACAATGCGCACGGACAAAGGAGGAAGTCAGCCACGCCAATGTGTCAAAATGAGTATCGTGGCAAGAACGGCAAGCACAAATTTTGACTCGAAGGCTTTTTGTATGTAGCGAGATCCAGTCCGCCAGGAAATCCATGCGCAATATTGGCAGACTGCCAGTCTTGCTAACGGCAGTCATTGAATGAGGCGACAGGAGGCCAGCCCACTTTCCACAATTTTCACCCTCCAGCGTTGATATCTTTGATTGCACCTCACTTAGTAAGGCGAAAGAGCGCCATTCATTTTACAACAAAATGGCGGGCATTCACCCGCCCAATCACGTGAGTCGACTCCTCACTCGTTCGATTTCTGATTCGTTCCTTTTTGCCACCCTCCAACGCTCCCACCTGGAACAAGCGCCGAACACGGGGTGTTGCTCACCTTCATCCCCCCGACCTCCGTGATCATGTACGGCTTGATGTAGTGCCCGATCTCGTGGCCGTTGGGGTTGAGGTTCGCACTTATGACGGGGTAATTCAGAGACTTCACGTACTGAGTGAGCCGGTCGGGCCCGTAGTCGAAGTCGTGGTTGCCCACAGTCTGCGAGCACAAGGGCTGGGCTTAGGTAGAGCAAGCACTTGCAACTGGCGCCACGTTAGGGACCAAAACTAGTCCGTGTGATCACACCGCTGCGTGCCATTGTGCTGCACTACCACCGGGTAACCTTAGGTCCTAAAGTTTAGAAGAGGATCGACAAGAGCAATGTGATTCGAAATTGTCCTTGTCATTTTAAAATGGGATGGCGGTATCCAAAATTTACCTCATGGGGTTTACAGAGTCTTGTGTGGCTGTAATCATTGCGAGAATGCACTCTTCAATTATGTCTTCTTTGGGACCATTCTCATTTCAAGAGTTTCCCAGAGACGCGTTTGCACACGCACCTTTTCGCCACGTGCACGTAACGCAAATGCATAACCTGACCAGTTGTATCCGAGGAAATGTGCACCAGCCATCTCAACATCAGAAATATCCATTGCTAAAACATAAGCCCAAACGAGTTTGTGGGAAGAATTGTGCCCTCAGGGCAGAAGACACTGCCCTGGACGTGGTGCTCACCGAGGCAGTGATGTTCAGTTGATTCAGGAACACAGCTGCGGCGCCGCCTTTGTAGGCGTAATCCCAATGTGTGCCTGGGCGCACATGCAGCACAAAATTCAGTACCAGGGGTGCCTGCTCTGCTGTCGCCGTGGATCCCATGCAGGACGGACATGACGGAAAATACATTTCTTTTCCGCCAACGACCCACAGCCGTGGCCCACGCCTGCAGGCGTGTTCGATGTTGCCCGCACTCATAAATGCAATGCATGTAATACCTATACAATACTCTCATCAAATACAGCGCTCTGTCAGCGTAGTTAGCATTCTACACTTGCTCTGTAAACATCATGACGAAGGACATCCTGATATTCTCCTCCCACACTGCGCACATAATTCAGTCATTGGTTTACTTAGCCATATTGGCCATACGCATCCACAGTGATACAAGTGCCCTGCACATTCAGTGGACTCCTGGCCACGCCCTTCACTCAGGTCAGTGCCAGCTCGGCGTGGACATCAGCAGTCCCAAAATCTAGTTAATTCCTTCAATGTGCGTGATGTACATACCAATGAAATCGTCACCAGCATTGAGCACAAGCACTGGGAGCCCCTTCCTGCGCTCTGCATCGATTGCAGCCTTCATGCGGGCTATGCCCCCGTGGCATTTCCCTGCGCCATCAGCAGCATTCTCAAAAGTTAGCTTCAGCGCACACAGTGTGCAATGATGTGATGAAGCAGCTTTGCTGGAGACAGCTGTCCAGGCCCAACTGATTTGGACTTAGCACAATGGATTGGACACAGACACACGGAAAATCGAGTGGAGCAGCACGCACTCAGCGTGCAAAAGGGCCCCACATGTCCCCACGGCTGGTGAACTTGTAGCCTGTACTAGCGTTGATTAAGCGCCCTGTGACAGATGTATGTCTCGAATTTGGGGACGATTCAGTCATTGTCAGGGAGGTCCACATTATGAAATCACATGAGCAACAGCGATACTTGCTTCATACTATGCGGGCGTCTCTCAGCAAAATATCCATGACATTTGCTGTTGCGATGAGGAGTGCCTGTGGGATAAGCCACCATCGGATTACATGACTCAAATGATCAACTTGTTACCATGTTATGAGGAGTGTGTGCGACAGCCCACCTTCTGATTGTCAAGCTCAATGTCGTGAGGCTGTCGCCACAGTACAATTTTGCGTCTCAAATTCAATAGCACCATTTCAACTACGCGAGCTAAATGAATACGCAATTGTCTGTGCAAATGCACAAGTGCACGACATTGGACAGGCTGGTTTTTACTTAAACACCAAGACTGCCATTGAAGAGCTTTTCCAAATTTTGGGAACCCCTAATCCTGAGAGGCCCCAGCAACGTATCCACTAGGCCACTCGATTGTTCGCCAAAGAGGATGACGCCACTGATGCTCGCCGCACCCTGATCCTTCACCCACTGCTGGCAGGGTGCGTGCCACTCATCCTCTCCCTCTATCCGCGAGTGGAAGTCGTTGAAGTGCAGTATCACAAACTTCACATTTCCGGCCGCTTGGTGGACACTCGCAAGCGCCACGATACCTGAGGGTCCGCAACACGCTCACATCAGATCAGAAGCACACATGTATCAGCAACCGTTTCTCGCGCTCAAGGAAAAGGTACCCTGCAAGTTTACGCGAATGCCAGAATTCTGCCTACGATTTGAAATGGACGAGAGATCCTGCGGTATATGCCGCCCGTGGACCAATCGACAAGATTCTCCTTGCCGTCGCTCCTCTCACAGTCGAATCACGGGGGCGCTTCGAACTGCGGGGGTGCATCGAACTCGACAGATGCGCACACTGCCCCAGCATGGCAATGGTCGGCTGCTCCATTCGCCGATCACTGCGCCTAGACAGCCCTGCCTGATCCCCGCAAATTCTGCGACCCCCTCCAGGATGGCTGTGACGTTCGGAACGCCAGCCTAAACACAATCTCTCCAAGTACCGTCGTTCCGTGACGCCGGTGTGTGGCGCGAATCCGTGGCATGGGCCCCACAATTCCCATTGATGACGTCGGCCGCTGATTGCTGCAGGCGATGCAGCATACCAACAGGACCGGGTGCCGTCGTTGTGGAATGCACACGGCATGCTCACTGAAATTGCCTACGCTCTAACACAGCTGCACAGCGCCGAGGAACAGCGCATGCACTGCTCTCCAATTTGGCATCCCTTGTTGGGGCAGATTGCCGCACATATGCTCCCACACATTGCACAATGAAGCTCGGCGGCAACCTTGCGCGCACAATCGGCGCCCGCAAATCGCCCGCGGGACACCGAGGTCGGCCCAAACGCCCCCAATGCAGATCTGGCTCACAAACGACCCAGCCAGTCGCGTGCCGCATCCATGTGAATCCATCGCATGCCGCCGCGCCGCGATCGCCGCGAAGCGACGCGCGGGCGCCCGCTCGAGCGCCCCGTGCCTCTGCCCAAACCACTCACATGCCAGGAACGCTCCCACCGACGCGCGGGCGGCCATGTCCGGCGGCTCCTTCGCGGAGCGCTGCCCTTTCCGTTGGCACCACACCCCGCCGCAGCCGCCACCCGTCCAACGCTTTCGGCTGCGCCTACAACCCCCCAGGACCCCTTTTCCCTCCCACGGCGGTTCCGCCCTGGTAACGTTGGACCCCGGGCCGGTGTAGTGAAAGCCAGGCATGCCGGGACACGCGAGCAAACGTCAAATCGTCATGTCCGTCTGTCTGGAAGACGGACCCCACGTGACCGGCACCAGAGTACGAGGACGAGTGGCGGCTTTGTTGAAAGTACAGCTGTTGCTCTGTTAATGCGTTCCGGTGCCCGTGCATTGCGGGAGGGGTTGAGAGTGGGGGCCGCGGACCATTGCCGCGAGTGGGGTCCGTCCCGTGGTGCCGTCCAAGGGCCGGCCCTTGCCGATGTCATGCACGGTTGCCGTAATCACGAGATGGCAAGAATCGAGAGAAGCCGCGAAGCATGGGAGGGCAGTGGCGTTGAATGTGCACATGTGGGCACCCACCTGCACGACGCCCTACCCATTCATGGGAGGCTTGTGCTTGGAACGCGCCCTTCCTGATGTTGACTTGCCCGGAGCCGTGGAAGCATAATGCCTATAAGCATGGCGAAGGATGCATCCGCGGGCATGAGGTGGAGTTCAGCGCCGCTCGCCCGCTGTTTGCCAATTTTGCGGCCCTGCAATCTTGCGATGCAGCTTAACTTCCGTGCTCTTGTAAGCGCTCCTGTGAATATGCCTGTCAATGGCTCTTCGAAGGAGCGTTCAAGTGTGGACCGCGTTTTCTACCATTCCTGGGACCTGTAAGAAATGCACCCAAGGGAAAGATGGCTCTAAACATGGAATGATTCATCGTGATGCATCACGCGTCAATATCCTCACGGTTTACCAAAGGTTTTGCTTCGAGCTTATGCTGTCATGTTCTGCTGGGAAGTCCTCATGTTGTTGGCAGCTATGTTGCATCAGCCTCAAAAGAAGGAGAATTTGTGTAGCAGGAGCTCGGTTTTCTATTTAGAAATCCTCATATTATTGGCAGCTTCATTCCACCAGTTTCAAAATCAGGCAAAGTTGTGTGGTACAATCTCCAAACTTGAGATATGTTCAGAAACATCAGGCCACCTCCACCCACATCTTCTGCAAATTGGGGGGCGATGATGAGCGCACCGCGTTGTCAAATCCAAGATGTGCTGACAATTGCATACCCCCCAACTTGGCCGTGTCCATGCAAAATGAGCTGCTGCCGTAGACATCGGAGCCAAGGGCAGACCGCATTGGGGCGAGAGCAGCAGCGGGAAATCAATCACTGTGTTCACAATCCCCGTGGGGGATTGCAAATGCAAAGGCGCCAGGACGTCTCATGAGGAGAGAAGGCACCCATGATGAGGGCTGGCACAAAAAGCTCCCATCCTGCATCTGCCAGCACCTCAGGCAAATTGGCAAGCTTTGTTGGTGGGGCCAATTCAGGGGATTCGGTCCAACTTGCACAATTTCTTACAGAGAGCAGCTGCATGCCCTCATCGCTCAATGGCAAAAAATAGCAGCCCCTTACAGAGGGCACACGAGCATGCGATCGACCAAAACTGGCAATAGCAACTTCCCGCCAACCCGTGTCAAAACTTGCCGCTGCGCAGCGCAGGCGATCCCCTGCCCCAGCCATCATGTCTCCAGCTTCGGCGCCACCAGCCGGTCGGCGCCATCCAGCAGCCGGGCCTTCACTATCTCGTCCCCTGTGGCCAGCTGGCCCACGACTTCTGCGCCCTTGGTGACGTACCCGAACACCCCGAAGGCGCCCTCCTCAAAGGCCATCCCCGCAAGACCCGCCGCCCCCCGATCAAACTTGTACACAAAGAACTCGTCTGCTGACGCGTAGGACTCTGAGCCAGGGGCATGGGCCATGGAGACGGCCCCGTAGATGGAGAGCGGCAGAACGGGCCGCTCGCCGTACTGCACGTCAAGGGGGCTTCCATACAGGGGGTCGAATTGGCCTGCGGGGAGGATCTCCAAGGGGATGAGCTTGTCGGGGACAGTGCCAGCGCCTGCCGCGATGCTCACATTGTTCACTGATAGCGGCTTTCCATCGTAGAGGCCATTCTGCAAACACGCAGCCTCGCACTCAGAGCTGGAGGCTGCAGGAGGAAAACGCACCGCATGTTTCGCTGGAGTGGGTCGTGTGCATGTGTGATAATAGTCGCTCAGGCATATGCTGAATATACATGCTATGAAACACGGTAAAACCAATCGCAGATTGTCGTGCTTGAGTCTCCCAGCCATGGCACCCAATGGCGTGTGCTTCTTAGACGGCCCACAAACAACAAAGGTCCAGCAGCACCCGTAGATTCCTTGCCGCAACACGCATAATCGTATGTCTAGGCAACAATGCAAACATGTGGGTAATGAACACACCTTCAAGGTAGTCTGCTCAACTACAGCCAGTTGCGCCACTTTGATAGAATTGATGTCAGCTGACTTGTACTTTGTAGTTGCAGTTGCCACCACACATTTGAAAACATCTGAACAACCAATACCTTTGCTTTTCCTGTTGGACTAGAGACTGCTCCATTTTCTACCGAGTACAAAGATACTGACAGCAGTCCTTTCTCAAGTTTTGGGGGTCCATTATTGACGTGTCCCTTTGCGGTATAACACATAATTTCTGGATCAGCCCATACCCACAGCAACGACCATCATATCCGGGGGTTGGCCACACCATGCAGTCACCACGATATTCAAGGTGGGTGGGCTCACTAGTGATCTAAACTTGGAGCAGGAATGATGCCAACCGCTGGTGGGTGCCAACCTGAACATTGGCTGCAAAGTTGCCAGCCGAGATTGGGGCAGAGTATCCATCAAGGACAATCGTCATTTTGGCCTCATCCGAATTCACACCCCTGGACATGAAGGGTTTCGTCCCATTAGTCTTACGCACGGTCAGTTCAACAGTCGCACGTCCTGTGAAAAACATTGTTGCCAAATGAGAACAAGCAACCCAGAACAGCACCAGTCCAGGCAGAGCAAAAGTCAAGGCAGACGTGTTCAATCAGTTGAAAGCAATGCTAGCGTCCCAGCATCGAGCTCCTGTAGTAGTACCAAGATATGATCTGATAAGAACATATGAACCAATTCCAAGTGTTTCAGGGAAATTGCGGGGTTCCCAACACCAAAACCATTGGCATACAAACCCACAACAACAACAGCAGAGACAGAAATGCAGCATGACATCATTTCTCTGGGGAAGGTTCCTCCATGCAAAAGGCGCCCTTCGTCGCACTGCAGGTGTTCGGGCTTTCTTTGCCCCCACCGACAACTGAAGACCAGGGTCTGCACAAAAGACGTCTGCCTTGGCGATGCACGAGTCGTGGCAAAATTTCTGACCGCCTTCTCTCACCAGCGGACAGCCTGCCAATAAGCTATGCTGTTCCTGTGACCATGCATAGGAACAGTCTCTTTCTGCAGAGCTTCAGGCACCTCTGCAGCACTTGTTGACACTTTTGAAAGCGATGCTGACTTCGTCACTGTTCCTTGTAACTATAACTTCCATAGCACTGCAAAGTGGAATGGGGTTCACAGTGCTCCCGCTTCTGTAAGTGCCCCAAAGCGCAATCTGCTCTTGCTTCGAATAAGATCTCAACACACATGTCTGTTTGGCAAGGGGCCTGTGCATTCGTTTCAATGACCACTTCAATGCCTGACCTTTTAGATTGTGTGGAGAAAAAAGTTCAGGCTCAGATGAGAAGCCACGGAATTGCTGGAAACAAATTTGTTGCTCGTAAGAACATGGGTTGCACAGCACAGCATGGCTGGCAACAACTCAGAGACACACACAAACCTGTAAGCCTTGACAGGTTGTCAAATTCTTTGGGAATAATGAATGGAACGCCAGGTGCCTGCAATAACTTCAGGTCTGCAACCAGGGCAAGGGCCTGGTTGACCCCCAGGGAGAGCCGGTCTTGGTCTTGACCATCCACAGCAGCTTCCACCTTGTAAAGGGTGCGATTTATGGCCTCCAGCAATGCCTTTGCTCGTTCCTCAAAAGCATCAGAGACACCAAAGAGCATCCTCCTTGAATCTTGTGACAGTGCGATAGCCGCTGCGACGTTCTTCGACATCGTGCCCCATGGCTTGCGCTGTGGGATCCTGAGGGATGCTGCAATGTCCTCAAGATTGTTCTGGGTAAGCAAAACAGTCACCACAGTGCACATCGTCAGCCCCTTGCTAGCCCACATGCTCAATTGTCCTCATCATAATCCAAGCCGTTTATTGTGTTCAGGCTGTCCACAGCATTGAAGCAGCTTAACGTTCGACACGTTGGCCACATCGCCTTGAGCTGCATCTGTCCTTCTTAAAACACTGTCTGCCTGCTGCAGTAGACTACAATCCACTCCATGCATGTGGTTCGTCCAAAACCAAAGCCATGAGTCTGGCATGTCTTGTGCAACAAATGCAATGCCAGCATGCATTGTTAAGAAAATATTTACTTCAAAATGCCAGTTCTGCCGCCTCATAGATCACCTGTACTTCCTGAACCTCCCCATTGAATGCAGGTATCGACTTCCTTAATGCTGTTTCAGCCGTCCGTGGCAGCACAGCCTGTGGTGAGTTCAGCACTGCAGATGATGCATCTGGCCACACTGCACTCCCAATCACAGCCTGCAGTGCAATGAGCGAGCCCAGTAGAATGGATGACACATCGCTGACAGCAGATCTCACTGCTGAGGATGGACGGCTTCCCACATCTGCATCGCTTGTGCTGGTGGTGTTGCGAAGAGCAGGACATGTGTTCTTGCAGTGAATGGGTACAACTGCACAATGCCAGTTCCTGCCCTTGACAGAGCGACCACACAGCCCTCTAGGTGCATTGAGGCGATTTTGATCAGAGTGGGAAGTCAGACGATGGGGGCAGCTGGTGGGGCACCAGCCCAGCTGCAAGATCCAAAGCCTGGCAAAGCTCATTCTAGCTGGTTAAGCAGCTAGGGGTTATTTTGAATGTTGTTGTCTGGGGCCTGTTGCCCTGATGGGAGGCTCAGTCTGTTGCACAAGGTGGCGTTTCCCCACAAGTGCTGAATGTCCTGTACACACATCAACAAGTAGTGTACAGATCAGCTAGCACGAAGCTGAAGACATTTGAATTGCCAAGGGGCATCCCAAAGCTAACACCAGACCTCAGACCTTGAAATACTGGGCAAACCAACAGACAATCGAACGCCTTCTATCTGGCACAGCCGCTTTCTGCGCACAGTGCACATGCCCTGGTGGCTTACAATGCGTCAAGCGGTTAGCGTGCAGATTGCTCAAGAGGGTTGCCAAAAGCACATATGTTCTTTGTGCTGGCACAAGACTTCAACAAAACTGCCACCACATGAATTCTTTGAATTTTGCTCTATGGGGAATGAGACGCCTCTGGTCTGATATGCTTTCCTCTCGTTGTGAAGTACTGGCCACAGTACGCTCTGCAATTGCTTCCAGTTTTGAAGCAACTGGCAGCCACCACAGCAGATGAGCTACCTGATGCAGTCACACACCTCTAGCTTGTTGCTATTTCAGGTCAAGTTGTTAACCAGCAGGACATCGAAATCTAACCACATCCCTTCATGCCAAGCAAACAGCATCACCCCGCTACAAACACTGGACAATACAGCACAGCACATACAGCATTGGTGTGCTGCAATCCATTCTCAAGTTGAGTTGGGCAAGACTCGTTGCGGCGAAGAGACATGAGAGGGTGACTTCGGGGACCAACTCCTTAATGGCATTGTGATTATTGGGCTGAAGGTTTTGGGGTGTGCAGTTTATGGTACAGAGCTTTATGGGGCTCTTTGGCTCAGATGAAGTACGGGTCACCCTCTCCAATGCACGCTCCCCTTGATCTGGTCCGATGCCTGACGCTTATGCCTCCAAACCTGGCGTTGATGTAAGGGTAACATCCGTAACATCGCGGCTGATGGCAACGGCCTGTCGATGTCCGCCTCAACACAGGGTCCATGCAAGACGGCTCAAATTGTGGGACCTTGTGGAAGCAATATTTTGCGCACAAATCCTACGACTGGCTGCCCTGTCCACTTATACGGCGCTCCAGATAGCCTTCGCTGCTGGAAAGGAGCTGCGGAACTACACTCGCCATCAATCTTTGGCACCTACCCGAATACACTCACATTCCTAGTGTGGATTGAACGCAACCACGCAGGCGCAGATTGGTCCGCCACAGAGGTCGGCCGATGGCCAGGCCAGCCGAATTTGTCAGGGCTCGTTTTCGCGCCCGTTTCCAATGAGCACGAACACCCAAGGTGTCTCAGTCCAAAGCCGCATTTTCTCTTTGCTTTATCCCCCAGTATCGCCCAGTGCCCCTCAACATGCGAACAGAAGGTAACAGCACCGATAGAAGGCAACGCGGCGGGCTGTGGAGTTGGGGGCCGCTGATGCGCATCCAAAACTCATTTGGGATAATGCAGCCATGGAGTCACACGCCATTATCTCCATTGGCATCCCGCGACTGCGCTGCGCCCTCGACACCGACCCTTATTCCTACAAGTTGGCGACGACGTTGCGCTAAACGCGCCGCTTACCACCGCCTAGGACAGTTGCTGCGCAACAGCGCTTACCTACAGGGTCTTCATCACGCGGAAAACTCGGCAGCGGTGCCCAAATCTTGCGGGTGTCGTGACCCGCGACCTGCTCCGGATGCTTGACACCGGCAGCCGTGCTGGCCTGGAGGAAGTCTGCTCAACTCGCCGTGGCTTCACGGGCCTCTCGGCGCCAGGATCAAAAAAGGGCGACCCCCGTTGCGTCCTAAAGGACTTCCAAACCTCTGTGTGCCACACCCGGTTGCGAGGTTTCCGGCATGCTGACAGCTTCGTCGTTGCCTTCTCATGTCAAATTTTCATGTGATGATGATGGGGCTTTGGCAACGATTCCTTGTGGACATTTGCGAACACATTTCTGTTTGCAACACCGCATAATGACCACCGTTTCACTGGGTGGATCACTTATGCATTATGGTGTGCGACTTGTACGCACTTCAAGAATGTTGTTTATATGCAAGGCATTCTGACTTTATACAAAGAAAAGAAAAATGGCTTTTAGACTCACAGAATTATTTCTCATGTGATGGGACTTTTGTGAGCATCAATTTGATTGTTGTGGGAGATGCCATCCGATTCAGAGATAAATGTTAGGTTGGGGCCGCGCTCGCAGCTGAAATATTTCTACATTGCCATTGAGTGTATGGGCGCCTTTAGTATATGTGTTATAGAGTGGGTTGCATTGTGGCGATGAGTGGGCATCTCTGAAGCGCGGTATGGCTGGTTGGTGATGGATGATGGTCCTTGTCACGTGAAAAGGAAAGTTCTGTGGGTGCAAGGAGACTCGAACTGTTCGGTTGCCGTGGGTCGTTGCCACCGTCGGCAAGGCCCTTCGTTGTGGGAAGGGTGAACAAATATGTAAGCCCGGCGGTCTGTGTGTGGTGTGGCTTTGCGTCTGGCCGTGTGCCAACGCCGTTGAAGCATCGGCGATTGTGGACTCGCGCTTCCCGTGTGCACTCCAAAGGGGGTCGTTGAATCGCATCAACGGCCTTTCCTTCAAGATTTCCTATTTTCTTCCTTTAATCTTGGCTTCCCAGTGTTCCTCGGCCACACTCTGGAGTTTGGCATCGCTAGCAGCCAAGCATGAAACCCTGGCCTCAAAGATGATAATCCATGGTTTGTACGGTTGGAGGTCCGAAAATTGGTTATCGCTGATGTTCCAATCATTTAGGCCCCTGGGTTCCCGTCCATTGTATGACGAAGTACCACTTAACAGTTCTTCCAAAACTTCCCAATAGTACATATTAACTCAATAACTATTTCCAGCGCCAAGCTAGTTAGCTTATAAGCAGAGCAAACTCATAAACATCATGACCATGATGGCAAGCACTGCCGGTACTCCACTTGAACTTCTACTAACTTGGAAACGTGGCTGTGGACCACCGCAATGCCGGTGCTAGCCTCAAGTTGGATGCTCAAGAACTTCATCATGGGGTGATCGGCTTCCAGACACTTCCCCGTGGACATGTCCAATGTGAGCACACTAAACACGCATGGGATGCCGGACATAGTTTCAAGCCAAGCCCAAGGGGAATACAGAGTAAGGTAGTAGATAGGAAGCAGAGGGGACCGAAAATATCAGGTCGCGCTTTCATGTTAGTCAAACATGTGGAATACACTCCGTGCAAATTGTAAATGACGGTAAATACCATGAATATGAATATCTTACGAAATCTGGGCATTAAGATTTCGCTGGCAGCTTGCCATGCATTGATTTCTCAATGCACGCATCTGCATGATACAAGCGATCTCAAAAGAGAAGCGTGAACTGCAGCGACCGAAGTTTGTACCTAAAAATTGTGGATGGATAGGTATGCATTCCAGATATGGACATTCAACACGGCTCCTGCATAACTTTCTTCTATGTGAGTAATGGGAAACGAAATAGTTGTGTATGTGTAAAGTTATGTTACAAGTTTCGAGTTTCCAGGGCCATGTTTAATTTTGAATAGCAATGAAATCAAGGGAGCTGAATTGTGAAATACATTCTCTGGCCTGCCCAGCAGAAGCGCAGCTGTGGAATTCAAAAAGGAATGAATCAATCTGCAAAATGAACGAAATATTCAACGCCGACTGCACCCTGTTTTTTTTTGTGTGAAACTGGATGGACTTGCCCCACATATGTTACAAAGGCAGCTGCCGTGACTCTTTTAGATTGTTGACCAAAGCAAGATTAGCGAGACAAGAGGAAAAACAGCGACGAATGGGCAGAGCATTGATTAAAAGGCTGGTTTATACAATCTGGTCCCTGAACTATCCAATGGCTCCCTTTCTGCACTATATAATTCAAGTCTTGTCTCTGGCTGCCAATCACCGTGGCAGACAGAATTGTCGACTTCTGCATGATTTAGTGTGTTCAGTATGTTTGAGAACGACAACGAGATTTCTGATGATAATCTCAGATAAATTCCCGATTAGGGACTGCGAAAACATGCCCCTAACGGCTTTGTTTTCGGCACGCGGCATTGCACTCTTTCTGAAATCCAGGGCATGCCCTCCATCTACAGTCCCATTTGGCAGTCCAAACCCAGAGACGCCTCAATCCCAGCTGAAGCATCTTCCCAGGAAAATGCGCGACTGCTACAGCAGTTCTGGGTGCCCTTTTCAAGTACATCCGTTCTCCCCCCTTTCCAGCCCCAACACTTTGGGCTTCGACCTCATACGTTCATCTGGATGACGGACCTCGTGCAATCGCTGCGGTACGTGAGGGACGGCTTCCAGGGATTTTGGGCGCCCAGCGCCTCCCTCTCCTTTTTCCTGGCCTCGCGCATCTCCATGATCTTGGGTAGCTCAGGGTCCGCCACGTGCTTCGGAAAGCGGTTGAGCGTCGCGTTGTATCCGCCCTTGGGAGGGTGCGAGGGCCGAAATGGGTTCTCGACCTTTTCGCTGCCCGCCAGGGCGGCCGGGCCTTGAGGCGTGTAGGCATACTCGCCAGCCACTCCCGGTCCCTACGCAAGTAGAGTGGGTTCGGTGCCAATCGGTGCTAAGCTTATGAGAGTTCTCACAAGAGGGGTCAGTGCGATTTAGGCTGATGAGGATTCTCATTCGAATCATGCGCGCCACATGGTTGGAAGGCATGCTCTGTAATCTGCGCTTATAGTAGTATGAAACGTGTAGGACATTTATGAACAATGCAAAGTGTGGCTGTTGTACCAGCCCGCTTGGTCCTGTTTCATCCCCCGTTGCATTGGCCATCGTCCCATCGAAGGGGATATATCCGATATATCTTGTACATACGTGGCATATCAAGATACAAGATATATCAGGATATATCTTGCATATACGAGACCAAAGTCCTCAGACTGTGCCAGCCTTCCATGGCTCTGCGGTTCCAAAATGCTGTATCACATTCAGTGTGTAGGAATCAAGTACCGG